CATGTTCGGCTTTTGGAACGCAGTTTTGCTGCAAATCGTTGTCGGCTGCACATTGAGCGACTGGGCTGCAGAGAAGCATCGACACTGGGTAAACAGTAAACAACCAGGCATCGCAGCAAGCAGAAGTGCATTACAACTGATCGAGTTCGCTGATGACATCAATCACTGATGTCTTGTGACATTAGTGAAGTGGAGGCAGTCACGACGAAGAGCCACGCCTTCCCTTCCTTCTGAAGAAGGGTTTCGAGATCACAGAAAATTTGCAACCAGCTTAACGCGATGTTCTAGCCCCTGTAAGTTTCTTAATATAGCACGTAGTCCCAAAATTCTTGTGGCAGCATGTTCACAAAGTAAAAGTGCAAATACAGTCGAACACAGTTATATCGAACTCGAAGGGGATCGCGAACTAGCTCGATATATGAAAAATTCGGTATAAAAAATTAGAGACCCCGAGAGCTTACCTGTAGCGGATCACCACCTACAATAGGTGCATTCAAGAATGACAACCGATTTCGCACATACGCTGCAACAAAATAATTTATTTGCATGAAAAAAAATATTGCTAACTTTGGCCTGCTTCTTCGTTTTGAAATCTTGAAGACGCTAGTCTCGATCTTATCACAAATCGCGAAACGTGTCGTCTATGCCCTCATTGTGGTCGTCTTCCCTGGTTTTCACAAGTTCCGCCGTCTCGAAGCTTACCTGTATTGCGCAGTCCGAGCCCTCTCGCCCTTACCTTTTTTTTTCAGCATATTGGGCAGCGACGGTGGTCCCGCGCGGAGGTCGGTGCGCGCTGCTGCGAGTGCCAAAAACGCGCCTTTCAACTCGCTGCGCAGAGCTGTGCGCTGCCGCCGGGCACTGCAGAGGGGGGGGGGTCGATATGCTTGAAGGCTGGGTAAAAATACTGTTCGATATAAACAGTGCAAATTTCTATACTTTTACAAAAGAATTTCAAGGGGATAACTTGCGAGTTTGATATACCCGAAATGGGATATATGTGGGTTCAATATAACCTGTGTTCGACTGTAATTTTCTTTACAACAACTTTTGGACCTTGGGGTTGTTTACTGGCCCTTTAAGTACAGCACGTCACCTATACTGCTCAACCTGTCTCTGCCGGACCACTTAAAGTTCGACGCGTGAACGTTCGCTGTGGGAACTGTTTTTGTAACCCCTCCGTTCTAGACACTGAGCGGATGCCCCGTGCACCTAGCTAGTTACGTACAGTACGTTGCCTATTCAGGTCATGCAGTCCCTGCTAAACCGCTTGCTGTTCCGTGCAAAATGTTGACTGCGGAAACTGTGTTTGTACCCACTTCGTTCCAGACAGTGAGCGGGTGCCACGTGCACCTGACTAGTTCACAGCACGTCGCCTATTCAGCTCACGCATTCCCTGCTGGACTGCTTGCTCTTCAATGCGTAAACGTTCGCTGTGGGAACTGTCTTTGTACCCACTTCTCTCCACACAGTGAGCGGGTGCCACGTGCATCTGGCTAGTTAGGTACAGCACGTCGCCTATGCTACTCACGCAGGCTTTGCTGAGCCACTTGCAGTTCGACGTGTGAACAATGCTGTGGGAACTGCTTTTGTACCCACCCCATTCTAGACAGTCAGCAGGTGCTGCAAGTAGTAACACTCAAACCTGATTATAAGAGTCTCAACTGCCATGACAATACTTCGTTAGATCCAAAAATTGTTATAAACATATATTTATCAAAAAACATTTTTTTACTTACTTAATAATAACCGATAATTCGTTATATCGAAGTATGAGTAAGTGGCCCTATGCGACAATGAAAAGCTTCCTCCAAGCACCACACTCTGCCTCTCCACAATGATTGAGCGAAGGGAGCTGTGTTTGGCTAGTGGCCTCACATGTAGTACACTCACCGCTCATTTGGCGTGACGATCGAGTGTTTTCTGATGCATACGTCGTGCCTTTGTATAAGACGCCCCCCCCCCCCCCCCCCCTACTTTTATTGACTTTTATCGGCTTTCGCAGCAAAAAAAAATGAATTATATATATAAGATGCACCTCTGTATCTGGCAAACCTATTTTTAACTCTCTCAGCAAGATAACACATGATGATGCATGGAGTGTATGTTCACTGTAAAATGCATTGAATATCTGTAAGCAGCAGCATCAAAATTGTATGTCAGGCTGTCCTGAGGCGCAGAAAACTAATATTTATTCCACAGTATTCAAAGCCACATTACCCAATGCACTGTCAAAAGTACTGCCTCAGCTGGCAGCATCACTGCGTCGCCACTGTCAGTCTCTGAGTAACACTTTTTAATGGCATTGTAAGCACCACGAAGCCCATTTTTGGCGTTACCTCTAAGGAGTTTGGAGGCTTGGCGGGTACACATAAACAACTCCGCTGCATGGTTTATACTAGAACGCTGTAGTTGACACCGACACACATGCATACAAAATATAAATGGCGACTGAAAGCTAGAACTACTGTTAGACTGGAGCAATGTGTCGTGCAGGAACTGATGATAATGACGAAGGGGTACGAAGGAGCTCTATGCGGAGTTCGGCAATGCGCCCGGAAACGTCGACGTCATTTATGACGGCACCTGGCTTACGCGTGGACATAGCTCGCATATATGTGTTGGCTGCATTGTTGAGATGTATAGTGGCTTTGTGATAGACTATATCGTGCTATCAAACTTTTGCCTGGCTTGCACCACGGGACCCAAAGAAGGAGAAGCAGGACATTCTGCCTGGCTCATTCAGCATGCCCCTCTGTGCCAGAAGAATGTTGATTGTAATGCTGGCCAGATGAAAGTGGAGGCAGCACTACGCTTGCTTGAGCGGTCACTTGAAAAGCACAAGCTTCATTATACGACAATGCTGTCGGACGGCGACAGCAGGCCATTCCATGCACTCACAGAAAAAAAGGTGTACGGCTTCATAAAGGTGGCCAAAAAGGACTGCATAAATCATGTACACAAGCGTATGGGAGCTGCCTTACATACCCTTGTAGAGAGAAAAAAAAAGCTCAAGGTGGCTCACTTGGTGGAAAGGGCAGACTTACGCAACAAAAGATAAAGATCACCTCATACTATGGCTACGCATTGAGAAGCCACAGGAACGATGTTCCAGGTATGCAGAAGGCTGTTCTAGCAACTTTGAACCACGTCTTCAACTGACGAGGCACCAAAGCATGACCTTTGCCCTGAAGGCCCTGAATCCTGGTGCAAACTTCAGAGAGCTCTTGCGAAAAATGAGAAGCCGCCACCTCACAAGGACAGCCTGCCTGATTTAGTAACTGAGGCATTGGAGCCTGTGTTTAGGCGGCTGAGCGACAATGCCCTCTTGGAAAGGTGCAGCGATGGGATCACCCAGAACCCAAGTGAGAGCCTGCACGCTATGATTTGGCAGCAGGCCCCCAAAACTCAGCATGCATCCTTGCGGAGCATTGAAAGGGCAGTTGCCGAAGCCATCAGCCGCTTCAACCAAGGCACAACCAAGAGCAACGTGGAAATTGCCGAGAAGCTGGGCTACAGCGCTGGCAATAACTTGGTGCATCGCAGCCTTGAGAAGGACAAGGGCAGGCTGCAAAAATCCTGAAGAGAGCATCTCAACAGCAGTTCAATAAAGGAAAAACTTTCAAAGCGTTACAAGCCGCAGGGGACTCTGCTTACAGCCCTGGTCTGCTGTAAACAGTCATGATGGCAAATAGTGAGAATTTTCGCAAAAATAAATATTCTTGGTTTTAGACCTAAACATTGTTTAAATCTATTGTCTATCCAAGGACAACATTATTACATAACTTTTTGTGTTTCTTTCACTTGCAAGGCACTGAAACGACCACAAAGTAAAAAAAATAATTCTCATGCTGAGTCAACTATTTTACAGTTCTAGAACAAGCTGTGAGCAGCATTCTGGGTGGGCTACAGAATGATGTCATTAATATCACTGTAGCTTCACTTTAGCAAAAGTTAAAGTTGCTAGAAACTTCCAACGCGTTTTTCTCAGTTCGATGTTTTTGCACATTGCACTCGGCCTTACGGGGATTTTTCATATGTTAAAATTGAGTGAATGCGACAAAGTTGGTATAATTTTATTTGTCTTGACATGATCTAGGGGGTGATGCTATTCCTATTTCTCTAGCATCACTTCAAAAATTACCATTAAAGATTTTAATGAGAGAAATTTATTGTAATATAGTGACCATAAGTGTTCGTCCGTTTTCTTGCTTATAAAATGTCTTCAAATGGATAAAAATAGCATCACCCCCCTAAAGCAAGTCTCCAGCATTGGGATTATGCATTCACTTTTTGGATTTAGCAAGAATAAATTGCCAAGAAGTCCTGTAAGAAGTACGCAATTAATTAAGATTCAGACCATATTTTCTAAACCACTTGAAATATTAAGAAACAAAATTATAGATTTGAAATCAGCATGAAAAACTAGCTTAAGTAGTGAAGTCTGATTAAGATTGAGCAAAAAAAAAAATTTAGAACCCACGTCCCCCCTTAAATAGGGCACACTCCTGTGAAATTCAACGGTTGGCGTCTTTCAACGCATCAAATTCTGGACATGATTCGACATAAGTTTCTGTGCAATGCGCATAATCGAGGAGGTCTGGTGGTCGGCGAATTCCTGCGATGGTGCTCTCATCTCTTAGACCCCACCCCCCATTCGCATTCATTTCATTGGCAACACATGTTTTTATAGGTTAAATTCTTTTAATACTCCGAAATTGAAATGTTGGCAAGCATGCATCGCATGTTTTGATTATCGAACACGCAAAGCTGCATGCTCAACATATTTTGCGCAAGTGCAGCCCTTGAAAAAGACTGTTTTGATTATAGTGCGGTAACGCTTATAGTGCAGATATTCGCGACTCCCACGACTTATGCTATAAGCGGTCTATACTGTATGTAGACTACAAGTGTGGGCCGAAATCTCACTTCAGTGGGCGTTTCGAAACCGTACAGCATCTGTTGTTAATGCCTCGCATCTGGAAGGGAGCAGCATCACGTACCTGGTCTAGGGTCTCGGCCCCAGGTGGCGTGTAGGAGCTCACCGACTGATTTGCCTTGTTGGACGCTTCCTTCAGGTAGCCAAAGCTACGGCCTTCCACCGTGCCAAATTTCTGAGTGAGGAAAAAGCGCGGATTTCAGTCGGGGGTAAACGACCAGTAATTAAGGAACCAGTCACAATATTTCTAATAATCTGCCTTCACAAAAGCATGGGTTTATCACTAAACAAGTGTGTCGCTCAAGTACCAAAAAAAAAGCAATGTTCCCATCATCTCGGCTGCAATAATCGCAATTACAGGTGCACAGACACTGAAGTTTCAGACCAAGTCAAATTCAAGCCACATAGAATGACAAACTGGAAAGGGGAATCAAAGCATGTACTCAATTCTCGATATAACAAACCCATATGTAACAAATTATAGTTTCTAACGAAGTAAATGAAGGATAACTCTGTCAAAGATACAGTGCCACAAACATATATTTATAACACATTTTCACATATAATGAAGCATTTTCCTGACAGGTGTGACTTTGTTATCATGAAGTTTGAGTGTAGGGAAAGATATTTTGGCTCCACTGACATGAAACCAGGGGAGGGGTGACACATGTAGTGCGCACTGGTATTTCCCACCACGAAATTGCTGGCAACAAATAGTGAGAAGAAGAAGACGGCAGAAGAAGAGGACGGGCCCGACCAAGGATAATTCGTCGCATTGTTTTGAGAGAGATTTTTTTCACGATGCACTAGTAATACCAACCTTGAAACTGGGCACAGAGGGTACGGCATTTCATCTCCACCAACGTTGCCTGAAAAACTACGTCGGCATGCAGGCCACCATAAGATACTTCTTTTCCTTCCCTTTAAGGCCAGTTTCGGTTACCACAGCATGTAGGGGAAGGTGTTTTAGCTCCACTAACAACGTCAGCTATTTGTTGAGCTAGCCATTGCCTGTTTTATTTTTAGTGGACTGGCGGCGAGTAAAGCACAGTCACTCAGCAGATACGTTTCAAAAAGTGATGTTTAAAGCAGATGACTTTACCGCAGAGATCCAGGATTTTGTCTCTGGTTTTATATAACAAACTTAAGCACCTTGGCAAATTTCATCGGGGATTCTGGCCCCGTGGCTAAGCCAAACGTTTTGGGCATGATTTGCAAAAATCGTGAATGCATATTTTACAACTTAGTCTGGTCTGTGATCGTAGTGACAGAAGCATTTTCTTCTAGAATGGACCAGTTCCTTTCTAGGCCAGAAATGCAACCTCACCCTTTCTCGTAGCCGCTGATCTTCAACAATGGGCCCTGGGGTCACCTGATTCTTCTCCAAGATAGACTGAGCTGTCTGTGAAATGGAAACAAAAAACATGCACAACAAAGCTTTGTTTGGTGCTCTGCAGCTGAAAGACAAATCACATATTAAAATCTTATCCTTAAGGGTCTCAAAAACCAACTCCAGTGTCTTTTTAACATTTCAAGTAAATGCGTGCACTCAGTTCTGAATGCCATCCTGATAAAATATGCCAAATGCAGCAGCACTACAAGCAATGGGAGCCCCGCAAACTCTAAGAAACAATCCCTTCTCCTCTCTGTACTATTAGGCATTCCTCGTAACCTGAACGTTCCCTGCAATGTCAACATGTCGCCTGTTTGTCATCTACAGTACCTGTTTGTCTGCTCTCAGGTACAGGGTACTTGCTGCCTGTACTGGCTAAAAAGTGTTCTTTCTCCTTGTGCAAGGAGGAACGCCGTTTAGCCAAATGTTCCTCCTCGCACGGGGAAGAGGAACACTTGGCTAGGAGGAGAGACAAGTCGATTAGTGAAGCATAGCGAAGGAAATGGCAAAACGAGCGAGGGGATCTTTTCCACCACCAAACGCACATGACTCCACTATCACGACCCCGTTCTGAAAGATTTTTAATAGCTACACGTTTGTTGCGGACTCGTGCACAACCGCAATACGACAACTAAATTTCAACTTTCGGGAGGGTTACGAACACTTTAACAAACCATGCCTGCCTACACTGCCACTCCTCGATGCCTAGGGCCACAGTATTACATCAAAACGAGGGGTTTCCTCTGGAAGAACAATGATTACAAGGCACACTACTGTGCGCCCCAGCAGAAAAACTTACCACTTCTGGCCATTTAGTATACACCAAGCGCGTGCATAAATCCATGTGGGTGGCCATTTTTTTTCGTGCGACGAAATTCAGTTGCCATGACCCCAGAGAATTTAGCTCAAGCGCTTACATACAGTGGAGCAAATTCTGCAAACACTTAGTTAACACAGCAAGTCCTTTCAATAAACACGCTCAGCTCCATAGCGAACACCGTTGTGCCATCATTTGAGATTTCTGTGCTGATCATATTCAAACATTGGTTGACTTGAGGAAAGTCGATAATGCGGATTAGTCTTCTCGTCTTCGGAATCATAAGGATTGGTGGACAATCGAAGCTGTATCAGAGTACAGCTAAATGTTAAGAAACTCGCCTATAATTAAAAAACTTAGAGCCCTTCCAAGCGCTTGTGAAGAGAGATGAGATCTATTACACAAGCTGCCATTCCATAGACAGATGTGACTGATTGACGAGACATATTGGAGAAAGACTATGACGACTTATCAAGGATGACTCTGTCAACCACATAACGTGTAATTGCGCGGACCCACTCTCGTGACTGCTGCTATTATCTATGTCATACAAACATGACGATAGATGCGCGCATGAACCTTCAAAAACAATAGGCTTTAATGGGAACAACTCGGGACAACTCGGAAATATGAAAGGCGCTGCTTAGATATGAATGCCATCTCGTAGCGCCATCAGGAAACACGAGCTTGTCCTGAACCCAAAGCCACTGCCAGGAGGCAGCAGCATATCCACGGCAGAGAGCTTTTTCATGCATAACGTCGCATTTTAAGTGCAGCCTAAGGAACACTTAGATATTTAGAATCACGTATCTATGTATTTTTCAGTAAAAAAATACCACCTAATACTTAAAGGGGCCCTGAAACACTTTTTCAAGTAACCATGGAATGAATTCATTGGTATTTCCTCACGAATTCAATGCCGCAAAAATTTTAAGAATTTGTCCAGTACGAGAGGAGTTACGAAAATGTGTCACATGCTGCAATCGCACTCTCTCGTCCCCACAAAAGCGCTGGAAGCTAAGCAGGGAGGGATGGCAGGGCCACAGAGAAACGTCAAGTGTGCCCCGTGACCTTGACCACTCTTTTCTTTTTTTTTTCCTTCAAATGCGGGGCTTTTTCAGTGTGATCGCGTGTGGACAAGTAGCGCCCTCTTGCAGCGATCTTTGTAACGAGTGAGCGCGCCATGTTCAAATCATCCAATGGCTGATAGATGGGCTTACTCCGTGTGATTTTTTGGTATACAGTCGAACACGGATATATCGAATTCGAAGGGGATCGCGAGTTAGTTTGATATATGAAAAATTTGATATAAAAAAACACAGGCCCCAAGAGTTTACCTGGAGCGGATCATCACCTACAACAGGTGAATTCAAGAATGGCAACTAATTCCGCACACACGCCACAACAGCATAATTTATTTGCATGAAAAAAATCGCTTATCTTGGCCAACTTTGTATTTGAAATGTTTTGAAGATGCTAGTCTCGATCTCATCACGGCTGTCCAAGTGCCACAGCCCAGTTCCCCTCATGTAGTCGATACAACGGCGAATGACGCCATACGCTGCCGCCACTTCAGCTGCAGAGTACACGCGCGTAGCCAGCACCTCATCCAAACGATCCTCCTCGTCACATGAGCTGTCGACCTGGGCATCTTGAGTCCCTGCGATAGCAGCTACTATGTCCTCGTCAGCGAGGCTCGCAACGGCCAGAACATTGCAGTCCGCTTTCACGAAATAGTCCGCAGACACTTCGTGTGGAACTGCTGCCGGGAAGCGAGACGACAGCTCGCGAAATGCGTCGTCTATGCACTCGTAGTCGCCGTCTTCACCGGTTTCCGCAAGTTCCGCTGTCTCGAAGCCTGCCTTGCGGAAGCAGTTGACCACTGTGTCCGTCTTCACGTCTCGCCAGGAGCTGACGATTTCCGCGGGAGAAAACTTCACAGTGATTCCCGACCACTCCGTCATCCACAGCTGGGTGTCCTGGCTGCAGACAGCTTTGCTTTTGGCAGAAATGGTTTTGCCAACAATGTTGTAGCGCTGCTTAAATCGGTGAAGCCACCCGGTGTTGTTCGTGAAGTTGTTTCACCGAGTGCAACGGCAAACTATTTGGCTTGGCGATCAGCATCGGGCCATAGCCTCCTTTATTTTCTGTGCCTGCGCTTTGCCGCTGGGATCAAAGGGAGCCGACCGTCAGGCTGAGTTCCCACAATCACCAACAGGCGGCGCTGCCTTCCCAGAACCGGCAGAGCCTGTTCACTGACTCCAGTGCTACCGCCGGCACTGACGGGTGGGTCCTTCGTTGCGCGTTTGTAAGCGCGGCAAGCTTAAAAAACAAAAGTGTGATACCACTTCCGTGTGCCACTTAAATATTTAGGAGAGAACACATGCAAGAGAGAAAGAATAAGTACGCAAGAAAGCGCATTGAACAGAACACCATACCTTCAAGGAAACGGTAGAGAAACTTGTTTATTGCGTATTAATTCATTCGCAACCTGCGGAAACGAACAAGAGGGTGTCGATCGAAACGTTCCTCACACGCACACAGTCTGACGAGCTTTAGTACCCTCGTTGACACTGTTCACAAGCAGCAATCACAATTTTAGCAATCACAATTTTTTTTTGATCGCCGCGTCACTTCTTGGGGCTTTTGTCGAAGGCTGCAAGTAGCGCGGATATTCTTCGAATACGCTAGGCACCACACCTTTCATAAGCCTTCGTTTTTTACATCCTTGCTTAAAATCAGAAGCAGCGAAATGACGACTGCACATGGTTGAGTAGCAGGAAGTGGTGTTCGGTGTCCAATTGTCTCGTGAAATGACTTTTATCCACTTTTGCCGCAACTCCTCGTCGCTTGGAATTTCGTGGAATGAAATTCCTACTTCCTTCTTTTTGCTTGAAGACTTGCAACCGGGCACGCAACAGTACGCCATCGCACCTGACGCGGGTCATCACAGCCGAATGAACCACGGAGACTTGTGTGCATAGGCCGCTGCACGAGACAGAAACCGTAAACTAACATTCCTGATTACTTAGCGAAATTCGCTGATAGGTGCGCGGAAAAGCCTCACGAGAAAGAAGCGCGAAAAATGATAGCAAAGCATGAAACCAGCCCTGCAAACACGAGGTGCAAACGACGTTGTTTGTTTACACGCACTCACTTATTGCCGCGTGTCATCTGCTCACGCAACACAATGAAGCAACAGTTACAATTATAGTTGCTGAAAGTACTACGTACCGTTTTGGTCGTAAATAATTGGTGTTGCAAACGTATGCGACACGAACAAAGGTTTCCTGGAGATGCGTCGCCGCGGCTGAATGCGCCGACTCGATTCTGGGATGCGAGCGCCCCTGGCGGACAGCAGACGCAAAAAGAGAGGAGGATGCGCGAGGCGGCCGAACGGGCCCGGCGGACTGACTGCGCGGGCACAGAAAATAAAGGAGGCTATGATCGGGCCATTCACCAGAATGTTTGTGCGCACTTCTAAAAACCAGGCATAGAGTGCCCTTTCTACATTCCTGTGGGGAAGAGCGTGCACATGACAGGCTTCGGAAGTTCGCTGCTCCACCACCTTCCTTGATATCTGCTTTGTTCTTCAACAAGGTACTCAGAGTGCTCCGTAGTATCGGGAAGTCGTCCACGACAGTCGAACATTCTTCGCCCATTCCACGACGGTTGACCATTTTGATAGCCTTCAAGTTAATCACAAAGTCATGGGTCTTGCACTTCTTGACGCTGGCCATAGCTACACGAAAAGTCGACGATTAAAGCAGTCTGCAGCGGCTTTTCACACCACGCAGGCAAAAGAGAAATGCTGCACATGCGATGGTATTTAGGCGATGCATGTACGAACGCTACACAGTGTGTCTCACAGCGCTCGCTAGGTGATTGTAGCTATGGCCACCGATGAGGGCAACAGCAAAAGGCGCGAACTGCTGTTGGCTAATTCAAAACTCGCAAACAACAACAAAAAAGTTAAGGAAAAGGCGAAAGGAGAAGGACGTCGGTTCCTTCGTTCCTGTGGACGGGTATGTGGAGAAAGCATGACAGAAAGAAAAAAAAGGAAAAAAAAAAGCTGTTTCGCAAGTTAGAGATTGTGCAGTCGAACCCTCTCGCCCTTACCTTTTTTCGAGCGTTTTGGGTTTTGGCGGAGGCATTGTGTCGCGCAGAGGTCGCTGGGCGCTGCGAGTGCCAAAGCGCGCCTTTCAACTCCCGCGCAAAACCGCACTGCCTTAAAGATCGCGGGAGGGGGGCAAGTGACAAAGCGCACCTTCCAGCTCGCGCGGTGTTCGATATATCTGAAGGCAAGTAAAAATACTGTTTGATATAAGCCTGCAAATTGTTATACCTATAAAAAGGAATTTTAAGGGGATAACTTAGGAGTTCAATATACCTTATTTACTCGATTCTGCCGCGCCCTCGGTTGTAACGCGCACCCGATTTCCACGAAGAAAAAAAAAAAAAAAAAAAAACCCGGAAGACATCGATTGCAACGCGTACACATTTTTCTTGCTGGCCCGCACGATCACACCACTCGAAAAAACGACTCCTTTCGGGAGCATCTTCCATTTAAATATGAGGTACGGGCGAAGCTTGTGCCCATCTGACGTGTAACAGAGCATTGCCGTCACTGTAGTTTTACCGTGGACCGATGTCAGCACGCGAACTTGCTTCGCCCCCTTCTTCTCGACGGTTGTGGTGCCAGGCATGTCAAAGTAAAGAGGCGTCTGATCCGCAATCCCAATTTGCCCAAGCAGGTAGCCGTTGTTGTGCCGAAAGTTTACGACGAACCTTTGAAAACTGTGAAGCTTTTCATCGTATTCCTCCGCAAAACTTTTCGCATATGCCCGTTACCCTTCGGAGGGAAAAGTCTTTCCTCTCCATAAAGTTAGTTAGCCAGCACCTGCTCGCTTTAAACTGGCTCCACATTAGACCTTTTTCTAAGGCTAATTGCATAGCCCTCACTTGGAGCAGTTCTGTCGTCATGGGCCGCTGTGCCGCTCACTGCTCAAGCACATACTCGCCGAGCAGCTCTTTAATTTGCGGAAACCGACCCTGCTGTGGCCTACTGAAGCCTTTGCGTGAAGCTTCGCTGTCGATAATCTTCTGCTTTTGTTTCCGCCAGTCTCGCACACACGTTTAAGGAACTCCGAACGACCGCGATGCGGCCCGATTTCCGTCCGTCTTTTCTTTTAAACTTTTCTTTTAAAAGCGGCATCGTGGTGCACTCGAGTTTTTGGAGTCGGCCCTTCCATGCCGTCGATGCTAATGCACTACAAGATGGCGAACTCCTCAGCACACGCACAAAGTGCCGCACATGGGAAACACATAGGCAGAAATGGCCGACGCCCCATGCCGACGCACGGGTGGCACGTAGAGCACGGCCATTTTGGAAATGCCGATGGCAATAGAATGACTGTATTCATTTTTTTCGTACTCAATTCTAACGCGCATGCGATTTATGAACTCGCTTAATCGTAAAAAAGGTGCGCGTTAGATTCGAGTAATTACTGTACTCAAAATTCTATATATGTGGGTTTGATATATTCGTGTTCGACTGTATTGCGTGATTTGTTGAGAGAAATCAATTTTCAGCTGACTTTGATAATTTATTGCGTATTCCAGGCCAGTGCTGTGATACAATATTTGGCTCGCGTGTTGTCGGTAGCCTCTACTACCGATCAGCACCATTTTCTGACCATTCTGAAAAAGTGTTGCAGGGCCCCTTTAAGTATTGATATTGCACCTGAAATGCACGTAATATTGCTTTTTGATCAACAATGTTCACAAACATGAATGCAACCACCAGTTTAACATGACGGGATGTTTAGCAAGTGCTCGGACTTTGGCCGGGAGAGTGAATCATGTGACAGACAGACCATCAACTTCTACGTTCAAGTATCTCAAGAAAAACTATCGTCTTTAAAACAACTCTAAGAGCCTTCAACAAGCAGTGTACGCGATGTCACGTGAAAGCCGACAAGAGAAAGCTCAGAGGGAAACTCCAACTGGAAGTTCCTAGGGCCCAAAGTCCCAGGAGTTTGAATTCAGTGTGCCCACACCTGTTTGGCACGTGACAGGTCACTGCTGTAGACGTGAGTGAACCTCTGCTGCTGCAGGTGCTTGCCAAGCAGCTCGGCCTGCTCGAGGCCGATGGTCGACAGCGGTACATCCAGCTGACCTGCACATCATCATCAGTTTTAAGTAACAATCATTCACATCGTTCTAGGTTTCGAAGCCCTGATACTGCCACAAACTTACTCCTTCCTTGTTAATGTGGCGGGGTTTAACAAACAGAAGCTGTTACTACTGCATGTCACAAGCCACACCACAATGTTTAGAAACGGCATGATTGTTTACAGACTTCTATGTGAAAAACCCAATAAACATTATCATGGTCCAAAATGTATGATGAAGTGGTAACTGCACACCTGTATGATGTGAAAATGCTACCGCAATAACTTTGGGAATAAGTGCTGTAATGAGAAAGCTGGTGGGTATAGCACAACCCGCCTCATCTGTTTCCATTTCTCGGTTGGCCTACCCACCCTTCTCGGCAGCGAACAGTGGTAGGCAGAGTCCACAATTGCGGCTATGCCGGCTTCTGCAATATAACACGACACTAGCAATCACGCCATACACACACAGTTAGCAATCGAGCAAGGCTTCCCACAAGTATCGCTCATGTCGGAGCGGCACTAGGGTCACTTTTGTAGGGAGTAAGAAAAGCCCAGTAAATGTGCATCTGATACGGTGTGGCCAACATGCTCTTTCAAAGTGAAGAGGACCAACTGATGAAGTTCGTGCTACATAAAGTTGCCCATGGGCAACTTCATGTCACTTCAAGGACAGGCAGGACTGGGCTGAAAAGGAATGGTTTTGCAGAACTGAATGTCTGCACAATGCTCAGTGCCATGACGTCCGTAAAATTTAATAGCCATGGCTTTCTGCACAAATTTACCAGCTTGTTTAAGAGATGCAAAACTATGTTAGAGCCCGTTAACTGGCCCTTCAAGATTACGTGCAGTCCGCAACGGTGGAGCAGTAGTTATGGTGCTTGGCTGTTGACTCAAGGGTCACGAGTTCGATCTCAGCCACGGCCGTCACATTTTGAAGCTGGCAAGATGGTAGATGCTTGAGTACTGCGCGATATCAGAGCATGCTAAAGAACAACAGATGGTCTGAATTTCCGGAGCCCTCCATTACTGCGTCCCTCAATCATATCGTGGTTTTGGTACGTTAAGCCCCAGATACTATGATCAAGGTTACACGCAGGCCATGACCAATGACTTTTTTTTTTTTTTATTCCCAACGTGAGCACCGAATTCTGGAAGGTTCGATGAAAGCTGACCCATCTCATAAACGATTAGCCAGGACCTAACATTCATGCTCACTGTTAGCATTGGGTGGCGAGTGTTGCTTATATTTTGAGTCTTTCTACTAAATTGATAATTGATATGGGTGTTTAATGTCCCAAAACCACCTTAAGATTATGAGAGACGCTGTAGTGGAGGCCTCCAGAAATTTCGAACACCTGTGGTTCTCTAACATGCACCCAAATCTGAGCATGGGCGTACAGCATTTTCGCCTCCATCGAAAATGCAGCCGCCACAGCTGGGATTCGATCCTGCGCCTTGCGGGTCAGCAGCTAAGTATCTCAGCCACTAGACCACCCCAGCGAGGCAGTCTTTCTACTGGGTGCAAGTTTTTCCAATTGGTAGCAAGAGGTCAATCTGCATTTAATTTAGGTACATGGGTGTTCTTGCATTTTGGCCCTGAATCTAAGTATGGCTGCAATTGCCAGGAATCAAATCAGTGTCCTCGTGCTTAGTGGTGTGACACCTTACCTGCTAAGCTATAATGGCAGGTGTCTTCAATTGCTTATAAACCCATAAATTTGAAATGCATTTGCACACAAAAGCAATTAATGTTCCAAAATCGACAAACTGCTCTGGGACCTCCTAAGAAAATGTAGTCACGGTAAGTAAAGTGGCATAACAGTGGCATAGTACATTTATTATACAAAATATGGGAGAGCATTAAACAAAAACGTGTAAATGAAAGGCTCTGTATAGCAAGGTAAACCCAAGTACCATTACAAACATTTGAAGAATGCATGAACTATTGGATCAACTTTCGGCAAAGTCTATCCAATACATACTTACCGCCACTGTAGAATATGTACAGTGGCGGTAAGAATATTATAGACTACAGAAGTACATGCTCCCGTGAAATGAACACGAGAATGAAGACAAGAAAAGTATAGTAATGATAATAGAAATGTAAAGAAAGTACAGTGGACGAAAACACTGCTTACCGCCAGGAGAGACTGAACCTGTAACCTTTGGATAACGTGTCTGACGCTCTTTGAAGTAAGCTACAGCAGTCTTCGCAGTCAGATCCACTTCATTGGGTATTTCTATGGATGTAACGCTAGTAGTGTTAGCTGGCAGTGCTTGAAACCATGAAGGCGAGAGTGGGGCACTCTTTTCTGCCAGCTGACATCCCGCACCATGCAACATTTTTCACATTTTCTGCTAATGTAAACCTGGCGGTGTTAGCAGGCTCTGTTCATAGCCGTGACAGCTAGTGTGAAACAGTGTTTTGACAGCTGGCATCACGTAGTAAGTGAAGCTTATACGAACTGACTACTGGCCAATATATCCTTGCATGCCACGTGAAGGCATGAAGTCTACCAGAACAAGACCCTCAGTTTCAAAAAGGTGAGGGTCTTGCATATATGCCTATATGATCTCATTAGATCTAGTTGTTGAGCTGGTTGGTAACTCCTCATAATAGAGATACTTAGCACAACTTGAAATTTGCTAACACACCCACATTTACACACGCATCCTGATAACACAATTAGAGTGAATGCAAGTATGATTGTGAGCGCGTTTTTGAGGGAATTCCAGAGTTCTGCTGAGTATCTTTGCCATATGTCCCCGCATGTGCATGAGTAACCACCCAAGTTGGCCCTGCCCGAAATTTGTGAATACTCGTTTTAAAATAGTAACTGGCGCACTTTATATGCCACACCCGAAATTTCCACTTAGTGACGTTGGCTGCGTGGAAAAGCACGACAGGCAAGTCATTGCGGCCCAGAATACCGACTCGGTGTGGTCATGCACTCTTGAACAATAGAACTGTGCATCAAATCGAAATGATGCAATACAACACCCCTCAGACACAATGGGCACTAACAATTGCAAGCTCCCAGACATAGAAAAAAAAAGTGCGTGAGCAGGGTACATCGATGCCCCCTTAGTGAACTCCACGGCTTTTTCAGAAACCACTTGTAACAATTCGTTCAAACTCGGTTATAGTTGGAGTTTGCAGAAAGGTTGCATGTGACATGTGTGTGCAGTAAGTGCCACTAAGCGAAATTCCTATAGGATAACTGATGCAACCATAGAAACGCACAATGCAATGAAGAGTTATTTAACCTTTCTTTGGCTACATTTAAGTTAAGCAATATTCGTAAAACTACAAATGAATACCACCTTCACCAGTGAACACCAAATGTAGCCGCAGAGTTGCTGCTGAGGCAAGCTATCGTTGTGTGGCATTAGGTGCCACAGATAACATAAACACAGACAGACTGTGTGATACGACCAATCACACAGTCGATCGTGCTGAATGATATTAAAACGCCAGTCTGCACGCTTACAGGGTGCATTGCGGACAAGCGTTTACAATAACAGAGTACAGTGTTGAGAGACTTCAATTACTATCAATCAGAACAGATGGTTCAGTTTGAATAATTGCACGGTGACACGTTAGTATCAAGTCGACATCAGCCCGCATACCAGCCAAGGCAACTGCAATACACTCAGAACCCAAACCAAATGAGACGATGCATGGTGCACGGAGTTAGAGAGTCCGTGCGTCGCCTTGTACAGCTGCAAACACACCTTGAATGACGTTGTCTTTGTTGTGAAGTGTCTCCCCACTGCAAAATAGAGAACGGGAAATGCGTGCATTGAAACACTACACCGGCGTTCGTTTCCAGCCGTAGTTACGTCGGCATCCACCACACCAACCATGCGACCGGCATTTATCTGTCTCGCACTAACACACACGTCCACCGCACAGTGACATGCATCGTAAAATGTGCCGGCAAAATCACACAATTAGGGTGAGACCACGAATGTGCGCTCAACATCAGTGGCGCCTAAAGGAATGCGCAACGTACGCCGCTCAACAAATGCCGGGAACACATTGCTACGAACGTGAGGTGTTCGGAGCAAATGGCGTTTCGACAACGTATTTTACGATTACGCAGGCTGAATTTAGCATACATCCAAGGCATCAGGGTAAAAGAAACGAGAAAAGGCAAGATCTCCAATGCCGACGTAGCGGCTACGAGGTTCCGGCATTTTTTCGCAGGGGCCTCTTTTGCCAGGACAAACAAACACTGCAAGGCGTACTGAATTTAATGCACTCGCGTCTCAAGTTATGCCATCGCCACATTTCTTGCAGTTCGACGCAGTAGCTGCGAGAGCTACGGGCGTTAAACTGAAGTGCCTATGCGGCGATCAACAAGGAGAGGCTCTTTTTTTTAAGGCGCGAAGTGTTGTATGGTGCAGTACTCACTGGCGGACCAAGGTAAGTGCAAACATAACCCCCGTTTTAAGGAACTTCGGGGGTGAAAAAATAGTCATCAAGTAAGGCACACGGCTTTCCACAGCTTGCGCTCTGGTTCCCTCACGATACCCGCATATTACACACAAACTCGTATCACTGCACTTTTCTCTTCTTCACCGAAAAAAAAAAACTACACACATTCACACACACGCACACACACACGACGCGCTGGTTGTGGGAGCTCACTTCAACAGGGCGCCGATGATGATGATGCCTGCAGCGCGAAATGTCGTATGAGGAGGTTCTGTAGCGCCGCCACATATGGCATCGAGTTATCCCCATAGCTTCTTCGATTGCCTACCGGCATTTTCGTGGTGGTAGACGTAGTTTTCTACAACGTTACTAGTTGTTTTCTATAATATTTATTGGTAACTCTATAGCGGGACAGTGGTGACAGATTGTGGAGGCTAGAGATGCTGTGGGTGTTAAATAAACACTAACGAAAACTGCAATGTATCTGCGCTCTTGCATAGGAGTCAGAGCTTCATTTCAACCAGGGCTCACACGCAGACTAGCGATGTGGTCGCAAACAATGACTAGATCTCTTTAAAAACGTCACCTGAGGTGATGCACAGCAGTGGACTGGAATGGCCTTCCCCGTGACATTGCAGCCATCACGTGTTCATCAACGTTTGCGCAAAACATAAATACATATTGTTTGTCAGAAGATCACTCTCTGCAACCTCCATTTGTTAACCCACCCCTTATGTAATATCCCTTCACCGGGGTCTTTAAGGTAATAAAGTGAAGTGAAGTTTGTTCGATTGCAGGATAGTCAGGCTGCCCTTCATAGAGGCTCGTGCTTGTGTTAGTTTGTTGAGGGCGTAAAAATGCATGCAAATTAGTTTTAGCTGGAATTACCTGTGAGCTAAATATTCCTATGAATGGCGAAGAATAAAATCTGAAGCTAGAGTATAATCAATCCTAGGTTATGTAACCATTTGTTAGCTCTTCCACTTAGGCATTTTAGACCTCGTTTAGACGTGAAATGGAATTGCGTTTAATGGGATTCTAAAATACACAACGGTGCAGGGGTGGTGCCAGTGGGGGGTACGAGTGAGCAGGAGCTCATCCAAAATTCTCGCCTGCCTCCACTTTGATACCCCCCTCCAGATCATCAGACATGTTGATAACACGACACACAAGTTGTCCACCTCTTTGCCCCCTTGCCGTGGCTGCCCCCCCCCCCCCCCCCCCCCCGATAAAAAATTCTTGCGCCGCCTCTGCAACGGTTCCGTTGGTAAAGAATCAACGGCAGGCATAGAGTTTTCTAAATTTCAGGAAACTATATGACGGTCATAAGTAAAACTTATCAATGTTTTCAGGCTCACATTTATGAAGCGCGAGACCAGGCCTGCGTATGTAAGGATGGATACGAAAGGGTAACCTTGTGTAAGGCCTTTTAGAATCATATATACGTAGGACTCTTGTCCTATGTGAAATCCACGTGAACCGATTCTCGAGTCTGTAATCCCATTTTGGTAGAGTTTTTTACGAAAAAAATCTGCTGAACGAGATCTTGACGTATTTAAGGGAAACACAGGAGTTCATGCCCACGGGAAGCACTGCGGATCGAGTGCCACCACGGTACTCATCCCCTTGCGAAAAGGTTTATTGAATATGAATGCTTTCTCCGTCGCTTTACACAATGTTCCAAGCATGTTGTCTACCACAGCATCGCATCTTGGTCGCGGCATTGTTTCGTTTCTTGATTGAGCTGCAGCAATCTACCACGACTCTCAATGAGTACATGCAAAGTGTAGAGGAGTGTCAGGCTGGTATCACTTTTGCTAACGGTTTTTTGTTAAGATTTTGTCACGCGTTCGCTAAGTTCCAACTTACACAGGAAGAACTTTCACTGTTTTCTCCTAAGCTTCTTGTCATGTTCATTCATTTTTTATTGATTGGGAGATAGTTGCGGAATTTCTCAAATATGTAGCCATTTCCCTTTTTTAGACCTGTGTACCCCGTTTATAAAAAAGCTCAACAATTCATAAGTTATACTCGTCGCAAATCGACTGGTAAGCTGGGTGTACGATTGACTGTATATATACTTTAAACTGTTTGTGATTTGGAACCCATCAAATTGGTGCCAGCCGCGGTGATTTTTGGACCTCTCCACCAAATTTATTGAAGAACACGGTAAAATAGGGCTACCACCAACAAAGAATAATGCACTTTTCAAATTTCTGCGCAATCGTTTCATCTCTTTTTCTCTAAACGAACACATATTAAGCTGTAGTTATTTAAATCGCATTTCACCCCTTCTCTTCTTTGTGTTAAATAGCGTTAAGACTTCCTTCATAGACCTTATCCTGGGACCTCTACAAGCCCAGGATGTGGCGGTTCCTCTGTGGAAGAAGCCCACTGCACCTCAGTCGTGTCTCTCAAGACCTAAACAACGTGACCAACCAACCAACTCATTTCCCCTTTTATAATCGACCGAGTGGATAATCCCCCTTCGTGGGTATGAGAGACCCAAGCTGAATAAAGTTAATTCCCAATCACAATTCGAACTTATTTTCATTAATTTGTTTGTAGTTTACACTATGATTCAATACTTACATAATACTTAGATGACCGAATAATTCATTATCCTTCATTACAATTTTAAATGTTCCGTTATATTAACCACCGGTTCAAATGGTCGATCCCCCGTAGTGGGCACGTGTCACACGTAAAGGGTCAAGCAAGCGAACAAGCTAGTGATCTCATTGGTGGACAAAGACGACAGTCGAAGGCGCGTGCGTCAGCGTGCAGCAGGCGCTGAGGAGAGGCCTGCTCACCCGTGGGCCAGCTGCCCTCGGCCAAGACATGGCCGAAATGACTGCAACACCGTCAGCCACGCCAGCGTCACCCGCCGTCGCCAGCGGCGGCGGTGGCGTCTCCTACAGCAGCGGCCTGCTGGCTCAGGAAAGGGAGCGGTCGGCGTTTCGTCACGGGCTGATGGAATTGTCCCGCTGTTTGGCACGCCTTCAGCCGACGCCATGGCCCAAGGTATGTGCGCTTCCCTCAGGGGTTGAATTGGGGGAGGGGGGGGCGGTAAGGGTGACCGACCCGCTCTTAAAGTCCCACAACCCCCTCCCTTCAGGGCAGTCGCCTGCCTCATATGTAATCAATTAGGACAAATGAGTAGGAACACCGCGAAAGCGAATGAATAGTATAAACCGCTAATTCGCTTTCGCAGTGGTCCCACTCATTTATATATGGTGTGATGCAGTTCTTGGTGTGGCAGTCACTATTAAATACAAAGTCAGGACCCCGCCTGCTGACCTCGTTGGTTTCACAGCATGCGACACCCCTACCTCCTCCTCTCCCCCCCCCCTTCCCAGAAGAAGTGGCTGGGTTCACCCCGTGGAGAACGTTTCGGAGTTGGAGAATGGGAGAGAACGCAAAAGAGCTAGCACACGAGGACACATTTCTGTCTCCTTGCGTCCTATAGTTTTTCTCCTTGAGTTAACACAGGAGACAATAAAGTGATCACATTTACAGCGCAAAAAGACTGACGCAGACAAAAGGAATCAACACGTACGCAGGACGGGCACTAGCCATTTGTGATCCGGACATGTCTGCATCTAGAATTTTGCGCTGTGAATATGATTTCAAGTGACTCAAACCAAGTAATTCACATCACCACCTTGACTTAAGAGGAAGTTTATTGGTTCATGTCACGGACGGCTATTTTTGGTAACACCGCGTCACGGCAATTAACGGGCGCCGTACTCTCCGACTGACCGTGAGAAACGGCGGCGCATGAAAGGGATCCGAGAAGTGCAAAATGGGGTGCTCTTCTTAGAACGTCGCCGCCGACGATTAATCCTTTTGTAACTGGGGCGGCGTCTGCAAGGTCGTAGAAGGCCGCGGTATACCCCGAACAAGGATTAGACTACGAGAGGCACCCGCTCAGAGCTAAGTGGTTGACCGTTCCCACGGGGAAAAGCGTGGGAAACGCTCTGGTGGCCAAGCCGTATGACAACAACCCGACAGGTTGTCACTCTCGCTAGTTGAGGCCCTCTCCCAATTAAAAAAGGGGTGGGGTCAAAATATTTTTGGGGCGGAGTTTCCCTTCAATTAAACGCGCATGGTTGGACCCAGGTAGAGGTCTCTTGTCCCCAAGGAAGAGAGCGAGGAGACACGAGGGGGATTTAAGCGCAGGATTTTGCCCTGCCAGGCAGACTAGTCGCTGACCAAGATGGTGTAGAAACAGATCAACAAGCATCTCTTCTAGAAGTTTTTAGTGTGGCTCTCTATTGGCTGGCCACCTAAACTTAGCCGTTCGTCTAGTTGTGACGCGATATTAACGTCTGCAACGTAGACATCGGGACTTCGCCTCGAGTTAGCTCAACCTGCTCGAAGTCACCTGCAAGCACTAGCCTCCCGGAGCCACCAGCGTTGCAACACCGCCGACATCGCAGTCGTGCCAGAACTCTCTTCGACTTCTCGCATCCGATCGTCGGGGACACAACGCTGCCGGTCATCACACGTATGCCTTGACCTGTTTATACCTTCGAACTTTCTCCTCCGTCGTTCTATTCTTGTTAGTTTGTGTAGTTTGTAATAGTTCTCTCTCGTAAGCTGATTTATTGTTTCTGTTATATATTTCTTTAGACAAGTCATACGCCTTGCATCGCCTGCACACAGAGGAAGTGTATTGGTTCACGAAAGAATCATTGATGCGTTGTGTCTTGGCAGCCCCAGCACCGCCGGAGAACAGATAGCGTAACACCACAGCCCGGTGACGCTGCCAGCTGGGAACGCCGGAAAGCCACCACACGACGAAGCGCAGAGCACCGAAGGGAACGTCCACCTCCTCCGAGTGCTTGTCACCAACTATTTTACTTCCGCGTATATATATTTGTACAGATCCCTCTGTGGTGCCAGAGAACCGGTTACGAAACCGGAACCATAACCGAAACCCCGACGCCACAATCATGTCAGGAGAGACGGAAGGAAGCAGGGTGATGATGGTCCCTCTGGCTGTCTAGGTGGCCGGACACCCTAGCGCAAAGGTGACGCCGCTGGCCCAGCCAGGTGTCCGAACTGTAGCTTAGTTAAGTATGATAGAGCTAACCAAAGGAGAAGAATAGGTGTAACGATTCTGTTCATGGCACAAAAAGCTGTTAAGGACATTTTAGACGAAATCGAGAAGAAAAGGGCATTGAGAGCACATGTAGCGCGTATAGGAGAGATAACCACTGGTCATTTAGACTAAGTGACTGGATTCCAAGAGGGGGAGACAGAAAGTTGGGTGGGTATATGAAATGATTAAGGACCTTGGACCATATTTTGGTCGCAGCTGCCAAATGATCTGATCGATTGGTAGCACATAGGAAAGGCCGTTGTCCTGCAGCGGGCGTATTCAGGCTGTTGTTACTGCTCCTGATGATGATGATGATGATGATGATGATGATCCACGGCAGGAGCCCAAGTTGCAGTGAGGAGAAGTTTCACCACGCGTTATAAGGGAAAGAAGGAAATTAGTTTTGACTGTGGCCGTTTCAGGACCTGTGGAATAGAACCATGCCACTTAGGAGAAAGGCTATATTACCGGCTGTACTACACATTCCAACTTTGGGTTTGCAGGTTGCCAAGGTGATGGCCGCCTGTCCCGTGGAGCTCTCGCGCGGCGTGTTCCGCATCGACCAGCGTGGCCAGGACGCCGTCGTTTCCCTGTGCGTGTACCTGGTCGAGTCTGGCTTCCAGCACCGCGAGCGCATCGTGCCGTACCTGATGAAGCTTCTGCGAGGTCTGCTCAAGGCCTAACTTCGTTGAGGAAGTGAAGTACGAGCCGGACGAGAGGATTCCCGTGAGGGAGCGCTTCTGCTTCCTCCTGCAAACGGTGCTGTCCGACGTGGCGTACTACTGCGACGAGCTGGGCGAGGAGATCACCAACTGCCAGCTCGACTTCCTCGGCGCCCTGGTGCGCATCTGTGCCAGCGCGCACGCCTGCCAGCTCGGCCAGCGCGGAACCGTCGAGCACTGCCGCCACGCTCAATGTCAAGGCGAGTGTATACTACTTCACAAATATTTATACTACTACTGCGAATGTTTTCAGCATTAAACGGCATACTGGCCTCAGGGTAAACGGGAGTCGAACTGCGTATAACTCTCTGACCACAAGACCCACCTCGGGTACCCCGCAGGCCACACTGACGGATAAGCGGGTATATGTTTGAAGAACAGCGCTTTACAAGACGGAAGTATGCCCCTTCGCATCCCAACTTAAGTAGCGAGCAAGTCATTAGTCTGGCACCGCCTACCCACGCACATCGAGACCCCACGCAATTTTTCTTCAGGTACACACAACAGGGATATGCCCCAGGCTGAGTGACCACACAGCCACGCTTGCACACCAGCTTACCAACGTACATAGCGTCCAGCCTATATATGTAGGTGGATGTTTTGACGACACAAACTTGAAGCGTGGTATCGGGAGGCACGGCTCTCCTTGCTGGCACTGGCGGCGTCCTGCGCTGACCCCAGACCAGGCCCGGTGAGCGGCCGCTGCCAGCAGGCTCCATCATGACTTAGGCTCTACAAGAGTGCTCCACCCAACATAAACCAGAGCTTCATCATGAAATAAAGTTTATTCTTCCTATTTCGCATTCTAACTCTTCCACAATGTTAGTTTTGCACTATAAGTACTCGCAGTCACCATTATTTCAACAGTGAAGTGTGTGACCTGTACCCATCTTAACGTGTACGAAGGGATCTGAAGTTGCCCTGTCCTCTCTCGGTTCAGGTCGGCCAAACAGTGGTTCCGCTGATATTCGGCACGTGCCGCGCTCTGGGCCGCGCCAGCGTCGAGCTGCCGTTCATTATCTGCCGGATCTTCCCGCCGCCAGAGAAGGTGAACTTCGTCGAGGACGAGCTGGGAGTCGAGAGCTACGCCAAGAAGAAGCGGCGAGCCGAGATGTACAACCCGAACATGGTGTCGCGCCGCGCCATGGTCGACTACTGGATGGCGAAGGCGTGCCGTGGCGCTGCTCGTGAGCGCCGCGAGGGCTTGCTGCCGTACGAGAACATTACGACGCCGATTCCGTTCCAGGCGTCCACGTTCCTCTTCCGGACGTTCGGCTCGTCCTTTAGCCAGATCCGAGTCGTCGCGGAACGACCCGAAGTCGCTGCCAAAAACCACACGCTGTTCTCGGGTAACAAGATACAGGTGGGTTAATCATGCGCTTCAAAAGTACTAGTTGCTTTGGTCAGGTTCAAATAGCATACTGTATTTTTGGGTGTGCTACAAAAGCGAAGACGCACTGAGGCACGTCCAAAACCATGCCTCATTTGAACTTTCTTCAGTGGTTTTTGTGTGTACTTCGCAGTGTCCATTTTTCAAGCGACAGTCAAAAAGACAGTAACCGTAGACATACACGCAGAACGTTAGCTTACATTCGGCAAATAATTTTCGTTGTTGACAGTCCTGTAGACCGTTGACGAGTAATACTGTAAGCGTGCTGTTGTAGGTGAGTGGCCAGCGAGACTACGTGGTGTCATAAAACCACCACTCGATTTAAAACACGGGCTTTTACACATTTCAAGAACGCTCACACTGGTTATTTCAAGAAGTATAATCATCTTGTTTTATGCACTTCTTCATTGACTCCTTTCCTGGTCACGTGACGTGCGTGACGATGACTACCACTATCACCATTATCATTATCAGTATAGGACTACTACAAATATGGCTGCTACTATACTGCTACTACTATTACTAGTTTTACTGGTTTAGATCTGCTTCGCCAGGTGCCACAACGATGTAATAGATATTGAAATCATGCACAGACATGCTTATGTTCCGGCTCAATACACGCTATTTTATGAACATGAATTAGGAAGAAAGATAAAGACTTCATTACATCGAGAGTTTCGTTATAGAAAGTTTTGACTCTATCGAAGTTTAACTGTATATTGCTTGGACTCGCAGCTTATCCTTGCGTACGCCGACCGCATTCCTGTCGGACGAGATGATCGACTACCTGGACCAGTGTGCCGTCAGTGCGCACGACACAGGACAGCTCGCCATCAATCCGTATCGCTCGTTCGGGGAGATGCTCAAGATGGTGTGGATAAACCTGCTCTATGAGCTACTCTGCTCGTACACCCTCGCCGAAAAGGACGAATGGAAGACGAATTCGCCGCTCTTCTTCAGTCTCGCGAAGGACATCCAGAAGCTCGCCAAGCATCTCTTTCTTGCCGGCCAGAAGGACATACAGGTGAGTGGCGCTCGAACTTTACGCAGAGATGGGCCGAGAGATATTTGTCAGTTAAGTTAAAAGAAGGCAGTCACTGCTTTACTCTCATTTCAACATTCATTGAGAACCTTTTGTTTTGTACTCATCTAAAGGGGGTGGAGGCACTCCGAAAAAAAATTCCGCCATATCCACGAAGTGAATGATGATGAGTGGGCGAAGCTCCGGAGGTAAACCTGGTAAACCATGAATCCTCTGTACATTTTGCGCCCACTCGATTTTATTACATCGCTCCCCCTAGCGTACGTCGCCGCACTAAATCGAACGATTGCCTTCAACCAATGACACGCACCATATGTGACATCATTCCTATTTTATAAGATCTCGCGTCTTTCATCAACTACAAGTACCGCTTTCTAGTTTATAACATCTTGCATCTTTTCATCATCAGCTACAAGTACCACCATCTAGTAAACACTACAAGAACTAAACGAGAGGTGGCTACATACAGGAGACGGTACCGCCATCTAGTGAACACTGCAAGAACTAAACTAGAGGTGGCTACATACAGGGGACGGTACTGCCATCTAGTGAACACTGCAAGAACTAAACTAGAGGTGGCTACATACAGGCTACAGGGGACGCACACCCACGCCCTAAGGAGCTTCGACCCTAAAACTTTGCGACCCTTCCTCCCCCAGACCCTCACTCAACAGAGAACCCTGTGCACGTCTATGCATTATGGATAAGTATTTAAGTGACGTCGCTTTCAATACAGTTGTGGGTTCATCGAAGTGGCTGAAACGCTCGTTAGCTCTTTCAGAATGCTTGCGACACGGTATTCCGGTCTATACAAAAAAGGTTAGGCACTCGCTCGCTGGATTTCGTGCCAAGTGGTTGTGCCCCCGCAATCTCCGACGACAGTGCAGCTCTGGCCGTATGGCTCGCTCTACGCCATCTCCTGACGCCGACAAGAGCTCTCGCTGAGTGGTGCCCCGTCTTCGGACTCTTGCAACCGTGTCTATCTTTCCCACCTTCTCCTTATTTCCGTACGTGGGTCTCTCTGTGCCATTCCCTATCTCTATCCCTATCACTTTGATCTTCCCAATCCCTCGCGAGCCACTGTCGAGGTGTCGTACTGTGATGCAGACAGTTATGGGGCTCACTTTTATCTTCTTTTCTCTCTTTTAAGAACCACTTATAGAAAGAGGTTAATCTACCCAACCTAAGCAGCGCTGAGAGCTTGATGGCCGGTTTACTATAACGACGGTACTGACGTCTTGTGACGCTTCGGGCAGCCGCTCGTTTGTTTGTTTTCACTAAGTGTGCTTGAAGTCTAAAAAGGCAACGGTTATTCGGCATTAGGACGCTACTGAAACTTTGCCCCAGCGGAGAATGGTAACACTTCTACGTTTCTGCTATTACGGTTCGGTGTTTACCTGGTTCATCTCGGCTCCGCCAGATGGCAACACCGGTCCGTCCTCTCACGCTTACGGAATTCGCCAATGGGCACAGTCGTCTTTTACGACAAAGAATGCGACTGCATTGTGATGTGTCCCGTGCTGTTCTCGTGGGTGACAGGTGAAGGCGTACGATGCGAGCGAGCAGGAACAGAAGGAGCATGGATACGCGTGCGTGCACCGGTTCCGTGCGAGCGTTCAGACGGTGGCCACTTGCGTGGAGATCCTCGTTTGGGCCGAGGTTGACGAGAACGGCGCCGACCTGCTGTGCGGCAAGCTCGCCGAGAAGCTGCAAGCGGCCCATGGTCTCAAGCTTGCACTGGGTACGCCATTCCCATAGAAATGCTTTATTGAAATATAGGGTACGCGGTATATGTTAGTTTTAACGTGATATTTTAGAAGCCGCTGCATGCATTCACATATTTCACATGTCGAAACGCCCCTGAGTATAACAGACACCCTTTTTGATGCCTACGTTGCCTATCCTTCCTATGGCCCACTCTCAAATTTTAAAGTGGGATCAGTAATTCAATGTACCTTTTCTCCGCAACCACCGAAATGAATGTAATGATGGCCGTAGCTTAAATGTCAACTAAAAGAAAATAGGACGTTCTTTAGGTAGTTACTGTAAATAAAATAGCTGCATTCACAAAGCCACTGAGTTTGTGTATTGTTGTTTAAGAAATCAGCATTTTTTTGTTGAGATTGTTTCCAACTTGTATGCATGCAAAGTTTTATCATAACAGTTTTATGAGCACTTAGGGCTTACACCAGTGGGCACGCGGCGCACTTTGGAGCTGCATTTAAGGAACTTGGAGCGGCCGCTCGACATCAGGCTTTAACAGGTTTGTTCCTCAGAGTAGAGTACAGTAGATTTTTAGGTTTCCAAATTGCAAATACGATATTTTTGGGGAGTTTACCCTACCACTGCTGCAGTCACCCGACTTTGGGGCCCTCGTCTGCATACTTTTAACTGCGAGCTTCTATTTTGAATGAATAAAAACTGAAACTGAAGCTAAAAAAATCACTTGAAAAGGAAACTGTATTGAAACAATGAATCTGTTTAGATTGACAAATTCTGCTCTGGCAACTTCAAAGTCGTTAGCATCCATTAACCTCACCAGCAGTAAACGATTCAATTAAGATCGATGTCAATTTTTAAATTTCTTGCCGAAATCTCTGCGCATGACTTCACGGATTTCAAAGTAGGTAAAAATTTATGAGAGTACAATTTATCAATCCAAGCCAATTCGTTGTTTCGGCGAAACGTTGGCATGGACTATTGGTTCATTCATGACACCCGAAGAACACAACGACACACAAGGAACATGGGGGACTGGCTCTATCTATGCTCCTTGTCCTTCTTCAGATGTCATATTGTCACGGGCTAAGTAGATGCCTGAGGATGACGACGACGAAGTGCTGAACGGGAACGTGCTCGGACTGCAGCAGCGTCGTACGCATTAGCTCGCCAGTATATTCGCCAGTACGCATTTGCTCACCAGTGTATACTTTATTCCCCGTAACATCATTGGTGGAGGTGCTGGGTACCACTCGCTATACAGCCCAACGAGCTGGATCTTCGCAGCGGACGGCGCATTGCAGCTACCACAATGACTGACCAGGCTACTCAATGTCAACAAGATCCGTCAGCCCCGCAGCCGATCGTTGTGGTGCAACCTCGTGACCCAGGTCCATTCAACGGCACAAGTGGCATAGACGTCGATGACTGGCTGGTTCAATATGAGCGCGTCAGCAGCAGCAACCATTGGGGTCCGACGCTTATGTTGGCGAACATCATCTTCTACTTGCATGGCACGGCAAAACTCTGGTACGAGACACATCAAGAAGAGTTGACTAGCTGGGACGTCTGTAAGCAGAAATTGCGCTATCTATTTGGGAAACCCATCGGACGTCAAGTGGCCGCAAAGAAAAAGCTTGCGACTCGTGCCCAGACATCCACAGAGCCGTACATCGCGTACATCCAGGACGTGTTGGCTTTGTGCCGCAAGGTCGACAAGGACATGCTCGACGAGGACTAAGTCGGACACAACCTGAAAGGAATTGCGGATGACGCCTTCAATATTCCCTGTGCAAGAACTGCTCGACGGTGGAGTCGGTCATCGAAGCATGTCGTCGCTTCGAACAGGCAAAAAGTAGGCGCATAGTTCACCGATTTGACCGCCTTCCCAACACGGCGGTTACGTCCTCTTGCGAAGATTTGCCCACACTACACCAACCACCAGCGCCAGAAAACGTCACCAGAATAGTCCGTCGGGAACTCCAGGCTATGGCTCCCGCTATGTCTAGCGTCAGTGCGCCAGGACACAACCTCGATGCTGTTTCAATGATACAGGCCGTGGTTCGCCAAGAGATCGCGAATATGGGCATTTCGCCACCTCATCAAAATGCACCTGCTACTTCCAGCTCGGCCCCAGTCGTTGCGGCTGCCACTCCGAACCGCACGTTCGCGCCACGACGAAACCCAGCTGAATGGCGCACTCATGATGATCGGCGCATATGTTTCACGTGCCATTGGATAGGACACATCGCTCGCCATTGCCGCAGCCGTTGGACCTCATCACCTCGGCCGAGATTCTACGATTGGGGACCTCGCTCCGAACGCGCACCTTATGCCCCGTCCTACCATGCTGAGACAGGTGCAGAACATAATCCAGAACGTCGGACCAGCCGCTCGCCATCGCCCGTGCGTCGTCAGTCCCGCTCGCCCCAACCCCGCCGTTCTCGGTCTCCCTACGACCGTCGCTCGGAAAACTAGCCGGTGCAGCCCCCTGAGGTGACGCTGCATACACGACTCGGACTGCAAATCCTCTGATTACTCCCGACCAGCGGTGCAACCTCCTTACAATTCTCGTTGATGGTTTACCTATAACTGCTCTTATTGATACCGGTGCACAACTATCTGTGATGAGCTCAGACCTCCGCCGCCGCATCCAAAAAGTTCTGACGCCTGCGATTGCACCTACCGTTCGTACAGCGGATGGGAGTACTCCTGCTGTGCTCGGAATGTGCACTGCGCGATTAACAATTTCTGAGCATCAAACTTCAGTTCTGTTCGCTGTACTGAAAAATTGCCCTCGTGACCTCATCCTTGGACTCGACTTTCTGACTTCACACGCTGCGCTCATTGACTGTTCCAAAGGTCTTCTTCGGCTCGAACTACCATCCTTTTCGGAGACCATCTCTACCAGCCCACCTCGTCTACGCTCTGTCGATTTCCTTAGACTTCCACCGCAAGCCGCAGTCCAAGTCCAACTCTCGCCATATCCTGCAGTACCCGATGGTGATTATGTTGCTGCCCCAATTTCTGACGTCGCCATGACACGCAATGTTGCACTCCCCAACACGGTGGTTACCGTTAAGGACAACCGAACTTCGTTTCCCGTCCTCAATTTCGGCCTCTCAGCACAAGTTATTCCTCGCGGCATGTCACTTGCGCATCTTACACCACTGGTCGACCACACAGTTTCCGCTCTAACCACTGATTCGCCACCCGAATTTTCATCAACGTCGTTCTCGTCACGTTCCTGTTCCGACCTTTTCAAGCCAATGCTATCTGACCAGCTCACCTCTGAACAAGTCTCTGCTTTCTGCCGTGTGCTTGCTTCTTATCAGGACATCTTTGACTTTGGCGACCGTAATTTGGGCGAGACATCCGTGGTAACCCATCGCATCGACACCTGTGATGCTAGACCCATTCGCCGACGACCCTACCGTGTGTCAGCCCCGGAGCATGCTAATATACAGCGAGAAGTCGATAAAATGCTCGATAAGGGCATAATCGAACCCTCATCTAGTCCCTGGTCCTCACCCGTTGTACTTGTTAAAAAGAAGGACAATAGCTGGAGATTCTGTGTTGATTACCGCCATCTGAACCATATTACCAAGAAAGATGTCTATCCCCTACCGCGCATAGATGATGCACTCGATTGCTTGCACGGTGCCAAATATTTCTCTTCAATAGACCTTCGCTCAGGCTACTGGCAGATCGCTGTTGACGACAAAGACAGAGAGAAGACGGCCTTCGTGACTCCTGATGGACTTTATCAGTTCAAGATGATGCCTTTTGGATTATGCAATGCCCCCGCGACATTTGAGCGCATGATGGACTCTCTCCTTCGAGGCATGAAGTGGACCATGTGCCTCTGCTATCTTGACGACGTTATTGTTTTTTCGACTACTTTCGACGACTATGTTACCCGTCTGTCTGCAGTGCTTGATGTTTTTCGACGTGCCAACTTGCAACTTAACTTGTCCAAATGCCGCTTTGGGCAACGTCAAATCTGCGTACTCGGCCATCTTGTTAACGCTGCAGGCGTTCAACCAGACCCTGCGAAAGTCCGAGCAGTTCACGACTTCCCCACACCCCGCTCAGCCAAGGACGTCCGAAGTTTTCTGGGACTGTGCTCCTATTTCCGTCGTTTTGTCGAGAAGTTTGCTGAAGTAGCCCGTCCTCTAACCTGCCTCCTCAAAACGGATGTCGAATTCACCTGGGGCCAACAGCAAGCAAACGCCTTCTCGTCGCTCGCTAACATTCTCATCAATCCACCAGTCCTAGCACACTTCGACCCATCTGCCGCCACGGAGCTTCGTACTGACGCCAGTGGCCACGGCATAGGCGCAGTGCTCGCGCAGCGGCAACAAGGCATGCACCGCGTCGTCGCGTATGCAAGCCGACTGTTGTCGCGCTCGGAACAAAATTATTCCATCACAGAACGCGAGTGCTTAGCTCTCGTCTGGGCCATTGCGAAATTCTGACCGTACCTGTATGGCCGACCATTCTCAGTTATTACCGACCACCATGCGCTTTGCTGGCTCTCCTCACTCAAGGACCCTACGGGACGCCTTGGTCGCTGGGCGCTGCGCTTACAAGAGTACACTTTTTCCGTATCCTATAAATCCGGACAACTTCACAAGGATGCCGACTGCTTGTCCCGTTACCCAGTCGATCCCCCTGACACGAGAGAAGATGAGCAAGAGGCCCTCGTTCTTTCAATTACCGACTTCACCGACATAGCTGCTGAACATGGCCGCGACCCCTCTTTGCGTGCTATTATCAATGGTCTGCACACTCCCCACCCTGGCCACTCCTTGCAACTGTTCGTTCTTCACAACGACATCTTGCACCGCTACAACACCCGCCCTGATGGTGCTGAGCTTTTACTCGTTGTTCCTGTGCATCTTCGCTCGGACGTTTTGGCCCAGCTGCATGATGCCCCCTCCGCTGGACACCTAGGGGTGTCACGCACGTATGACCGCATTCGCCGCTGATTCTTTTGGCCTGGCTTCTACCGTTCTGTGCGACAGCACGTTGCGGCATGCGACCTCTGCCAACGCCGCAAGACACCTGCTCTGAGACCTGCTGGTACCCTCCAGCCCATTGATGTACCAGATGAGCCATTTTTCCGAGTCGGCCTCGATCTTCTGGGACCCTTTCCCGTGTCGGCCACCGGTAATAAGTGGATTGCTATTGCTACCGACTACGCAACGCGGTATGCCGTTACACGCGCCCTCCCCACCAGTTGTGCTACTAATGTAGCCGATTTCCTTCTCCATGACATCATTCTGCGTCATAGTGCTCCTCGTCAGTTGATCACCGACCACGGCAGCTGTTTTCTATCAAAAGTAGTCGACGAGCTCCTGCGATCCGGCTCTACCCACCACAAGTTCACTACAGCGTACCATCCGCAAACCAACGGCGTCACGGAACGCCTCAACCGTACCTTGACGAATATGTTAGCGATGTACGTCTCCAAGGATCACAAAGATTGGGACATCCACTTACCTTTCGTTACCTTCGCATACAACAGTTCACGTCATGATACAGCTGGATTTTCCCCTTTTTACCTACTGTTCGGTTATGACCCGCCTTTGCTCATGGACACCATGCTCCAATCTGACGCCCTCTCATCGACTGCTTATGCTCGTGATGCCCTGGCTCGAGCTGACATCGCCCGCCAAGTCGCCCGGGATCGTTTATGTGCCTCGCAGCTTAACCAAAAGAGTGCTTACGATCGCCGGCACCGCGACGTACAGTACTCTCCGGGGTCACTCGTCTTGCTGTGGTTGCCATCACGTCGTGTTGGTCTCAGCGAAAAACTAATGTCCCGTTACGTTGGCCCCTACCGCGTCATACGCAAGGTCACCAGCGTGACCTATGAGCTAGCTCCACTCCATACCACGTCAGTACCAGCTTCAGTCTCGACCGATATAGTGCACGTCTCACGGCTTAAACCATACTTCTCACGCCTCGAGAATTGATCCCACCGGGACGGTGCTTCTGCCGCCGGCGGGTAATGTCACGGGCTAAGTAGATGCCTGAGGATGACGACGACGAAGTGCTGAACGGAAACGTGCTCGGACTGCAGCAGCGTCGTACGCATTAGCTCGCCAGTATATTCGCGAGTACGCATTTGCTCACCAGTGTATACTTTATTCCCCGTAACAATATGAGTGTCCCTTCAAGTAGAAAATAATCCCAGCGTATCCACTGAGTGAAAGATGATGAGTGGGACGAAGCATCTGTCCGTCCGTTCGTCTGTCTGTCTGTTGGTCTGTGGGACAGACGGACGGATGGACGCTTCGCTCCACTCATCATCATTCACTCCGTGAATATGCTGTGAATTTCTTATTTAGCAGTACTATCTATCCTCTTTAATCATCAACCACACAAAAATCATAAACTCCATCAAGTGATAATATTTCCAAGGACATATACAACGCCTAATAGTGAGCAAACCACACAAAAAACCATAAACGCCATCTGGTGATAGTATTCTCAATGACATATACAACGTCTACTAGGGAGCAAATATTAAAACTAACTACAAGTGGCTCCTACTACAACATACTGTTACGAAGGAACGACCACACCCTAAGGAGTTGCAGCGCTAAAACGGGGTAGCCTGGTGAACTTCCAGATTTCCGTGCAGGTCACCTCCCCATACTCATCAGCTGCCTGGATGGCATCAGGACGCTGGCCGAGATGTTCCCACTGATCGTGGACGGCTGCGTGCTGGCGGCGCGCGATTTCCTCGGTGCTCCGGCGCCCGTCCTGCTCAAGCTTTACCAGTGCATGGAAGAGCTCGTCAGTGGCGACAACGCTGGCGTCAGGTCCATCTGTCAGGCAGCACTCAGACAGGTCCGTCTGGTACACTGCACAGCACGCTTCAAGTGCGCGAGGATATAATGTTTGTGGCGACAACTGCAAGCTATAGAACCTTCCCTTTCTATTAGCTTCTCCCCCACATTGATCCTTCCAGTTACTCCACTTCTTCTTGTGAATTCAACGCTTCTTACACAGCAGGCTTGAACGATTTAGTGTGAACGTGCTCTAAGCGCGCGCACTGCCCTCTTTTCCTGAAGCACGTAATTTCTAGGGAGGAGCAGAGCAACTGCCTTGCGTCTCCCGCAGCCAGATGCTCACGACACTATCTTGGAGTGGGCTAAGAGGGTAGAACAGGTTTATCTCGAATATTTTCTCTCTACATCCTTGTCATTTTGGCCCTTCTATATAAACACGGAAAAATTGATTTGAACATTAGTTCATATAGACCCCCCTAAGCTTCGATTTTATGAGATGACGCACGAAGCACACACACACACACACACACACACACACACACACACACACACACACACACACACACACACACACACACACACACACACACACACACACACACGCACACACGCACACACGCGCACACGCGCACGCACACACGCACACGCACACGCACGCACACGCACACGCACACGCACACACACGCACACGCACACGCACACGCACACGCGCACGCGCACACGCACACGCACACACACACACACACAGACACACACACACACACAGGCACACGCGCACACACACACACACGCGCGCACACACACACACACGCAAACACACACACTCACACACACACACACACACACACACACACACACACACACACACACACACACACACACACACACACACACACACACACACACGTACGCTTGCTTGCTTGCCTTAGTTTTTGGTGGAGACCTAAACCGGGCCGCAAGGAAAACCAAATTTCGAACAACGTTTGCCTGTTATCTGTGTTCGCATATATCTCAAATTTCCGTCATGGCCAACGCTGTGTTTCCGCTCGCAACAAAAGACGCCACCGTTGACACCGACACTGCGCAGTTCCTACGAAACAAGCTGTTTGAAGCTATCACATTAAAAAAAATTGCAGGTACGCGATGCCGGCATCGAGTGCCTGTGTGGAGTGCTTCGAGTGGGCGTTGAGCGTGATCCCGAGATTGTGCAAGCGTACTTGGCCTCTGCCTCAAATCGACTCTTCCAGGTACGTGCCAAGAAGAGTCCATTGCTTGTGAAGCAGCTACGGTGGCAACGTCCCTTTCAGTAGGTTATCCCTATACTGCTAATAGTACTAATAACAATACTACTACTGGTATTACTACTACCACTACTACCACCACCACTATACTACCATTATATAATAATAATGTTGGAGTTTCATGTCCAGAAACTACGATGCGATTATTCGGAACGTCGTAGTAGAGGCACGAGGACGAAGCAAGCATAAAGGGACAATGGCTCCAGAAGTTTATAACCAACCGGCGTTCTCTAATTCAAAGTACACTGGTCTCTCGCTTTTCGCCTTGATGGAAATACAGCTGCGCGATTGTGACCTATGTGGGGTATACCTCGTTAAGCTGAAGGCATATCGTGTTGGTCTCGTCGTATGCTTCGTGCAGGCCGAAATAAGCGGCGGAGAAGGAGCCCTGATCGCCATCAACACGGTCATGGCGTTGGGCAAGATGGCGGTGCTGCTGAAGGGCACGCCGAAGACGGAAAAGTCGGTGCTGCAGTTCTTCCAACAGCGCTTCTGTAAACCGCCTTCGACGCTGGACACACTCATTGTGGATCAGATGGGCCGCATGCTGGTCGCTAAGGTGGACCGGACTGTCAGGGACGAGATCTTGAAGATGCTCACCATGGTAACGCTTGTATCCAACTCCGTGCAGGCAAAGATTGCGGACGCCGACATCAAGTGAGTTTACGTAGTGAACGTTGTTTGAAGGACTAAGAGTAAGAAAGATAAGAAATTCGGTAGCATGGACTGAGTAGAAATGGGGCAACTTAGACAAAATTTTAACGAAAAAAAACGAGAGAGCTTCACACTAATGGTGGCAAGTGAAGCAGTTGTTCATGCGGTTATGCAATGAGGTTTGTGCGGTTGTCCAATGTCCATTGTAGTCAGGCTGGCTTGCAGATGCTCAGCGACAAACTCTTAGAGATCAGTAAAGTATTTTATACCTGTCGTCTTATTGCATAGAGAGCGTTAACCATGCATAGAAAGGAAACATAAAATGTACATTTTGCAGTGTCTTTATCCACTAACTACACCTTAAGAATTTAGCGCCAATGTTGCCATCCTGTTCTTTTTCCTTCATTTTGAAGTGTTCCTTTCAAATACCGAATATGTTTCGAGAGTTAACTTTAGAGCGTTTCTTTTGTACTGAAACTACATCGTCTTACGTTGGTCAAATTTCGCGAAGTGGTAGGGCTGGCCAAAACTTGATTTGAGTGAGCTCAAAATGCAGCATATATAACTTTTGTTGTGAGGCATCAATTATAACTAACCGTATGTAACAGGACTGTTGATGGTGAAAAAAAAACGCTCGTTTATTGCTACATAACGTCTGTCCTGGCAAGTGCACTAGCCAAAATTTAGTCTTTCCCTGCCTAAGCGTCGGGACTTGGTTTACAGTGCAAAGCGTTCCTTATTCGACCACGGGCTAAGTGCACTCGTTGAAATGCCAGCTCCAGCCTGAGAACACATTCTTTAAACTAAATTTATTTCCTAATGCTTTCATATTCCTGCACAACTGATCATATTTTATAAATGCCAAAAGTATAATAAAAGACGATACATGACTTTCACACACAATTGTGTCTGAAGCTTCCGTAATTGTCTCAATTAGAAGGTTAAGGTTCTAGAGGAAAGCAATTATTTGGGCAGAGAGATCACTAATTTGTAGGCTTAGTCTCAACCCCAATGTTTGCCTTCAATTTCATCTCAAAGCAAGCAATGTGAGCATCACTTACTACATTATATTCAGGTTTCCCGGCTACAGACATGTAGCCTTGCCCGTCATCAAGGTCCTTATCAAGGTGGCCTCGGGCATCGAAGGCTCGGACGAGCAGCTCGAGATGCTCGGTACCCTTCTCGAGCTATTCGTGCAGATCGGACTCGACGGTTGTCGTTACTGCGAGAACCAGCTGGCCTTTAAGGACTCTGGCTGCGCCGCAAACATGGGTGTTCTCATACCTGTCATCTCTGCACTGGTGCAGCGTATGGACCCCGTCGTGGGTGCCAAGCCGCGGATGCACAAGCTATTCTGGGACTTCTGGCTGTACGCCTCACTCATGGGCTTCACCGTGCTCTCCGGCGTGTGGCCCATCGACTGGTACTACGGCACCGCTGACATCGCCCTCAAGTCCCCCATCCTGGTATGCAAGGAACACCTAAGGCCCATCCTGCAGTTCAACAACCCTATCCGTCACGAGACCGCGGCCATCGTCGACCTGAACGACGTCAAGTTCCAGCTCCTGAAGGAACTCAAGGGAGGTACCGAGATAAGCACAATACTGTACAAGATGAACTACCAGCAGGCCACCTACCTTCTTTCCGTTAACGACTTGGAGCCCTTCGAGTTCAGAACTCCGTGACCACTAAGACGCCGTACCAGACCATTATGCAGTACCTCGAGTTCCCGCTCATCCAGAAGGACAAAGGTGGCATGTTCATTTGCATGTCGGCCGTTGCCGACAAGGTCTTCGAGATGTTCCTCGATGTGATGCAGGACAAGCCCAAGCACGAGGACCGTGAGGCCGAGCTGGAGGAGGCATTTGTGTTCCTCCTCGTGAAGTTCGTCGATCCCCGAAAAGCAGATACGGCGCGTGGCCGACAAGTTCATTTCGAATTTCATCGATCGCTTCCCGCATTTGTTGTGGAGTCCGCAAGGTGAGATGTACAAGGCATTAGTTGGACCGTTTAGACAAGAAAAACGATGAGTGCGGCTGCTGTGTGTCAGGCTACGAGATAGTTGTGGACTTCATGCAGGGCAGGCACTCATGGCATACTGTGCGGTGCTCGCCAAAGGTTATTGGGGAACTTGAAATTCATAAACAAATGTCGTGGCGATGAATGGTCTCGGTCGAGCATATAATTTATTAGCCCGATAGGAGCACCATATCGTCGTTATCCTCAATGCTTCGAAGTGGCAACCATGTTTGGTTTCGCTTAACTATTTGCTGTTGTCATCTATACCATTCACTGGCCAAGTTCGTTGGCTCATGTTAGACGTCTTTTGACAACAAAACGAGTTTCACTGCTCTCTGTCAGCAATGAGACTGAAGAATAGCCCGTGTCGAAACGGTGGTGGCAAGCTGACATCGGCGTGAGAAATATGGTAATTAAATGGTTGTTGTTAATCTTATGTCGCTGGCTTCACAGGCTAGAATATGTGCAGCAGGGCCCTGTTATTACGCGTTTCTTCAACCATGCCGTTACTCGGGCAGGTCCTCTGGGCCATGCTGGACATCTTGCAGGCACTGGCCTACTCCCTGGAGCTGGACCCCAATGAGACCGGCCAGGAGGTGATCGTCCCCTTCACCCCGTACTCAATCACACTAACTGACACCATGGACGGACGGGAGACCATTGTTCGGGATCTGGCCGCCCACTGCCAGGGTATCGTTCAGGAGGCTGTCAAATGGGCACCCATAGCTACGCGCTCCCACCTCCAAGAGTACATGGTCACCAACTCGGAACTGGTTGAGGCGCTGACCCAGCATACCGGTGTGGGCCTGGCCATTGAAAGCATCATGCTTTTCGCAGGCCTGAACGCGAGTTCCTCACCCCAGTCCACTTCCCTGCTAGAGCGGTGGCCGGCTTGCGTCAAGAAGGACTACTCCGAGTTTGTGTGCTCCATGGAGATACGCTGCCGGTATTCGGGAGAAGTGGCGGGCCTGCTCATGAGTTCCAAGAACACGGAATACACGCGAAAGGAGCTCGCGGCCAAGCTGCTCAACCAGCTGCACACCAGTTGGAAGACGTCGAACAAGAAGCTCCACAAGCGATGTATATTCCGCATATGCGCCCTATTGGTCAGCATGAAAGGTCTGGACCGGAGGCTGTTGCGGGCTCTGTGCTGGTCGCCCGTCGAGTACTTCTCCGAGGAGCCGACACGCAACGCCATTTACTGCTGGCAGTGGTTCCTGGCGGCCAAGCCCGACCAGGAGCTTCGCTTCCTGCACGAGATGTCCAACGCGTGGCTGGCCACGGTCGAACGTGAGCTGGGCCTCTTCTCGAAGGACCCCGTGCAGACGGACCCGTGTGCCGTTGGCGAGAAGAGCGACTTGCGACCGAAGTCTCCTTACATCGCGCCGCACGAGGTTTGGGTGATATTGTTTTTCATTTTGGCCTGGGATAGAACGCACAGCATCATTAGTAAAACTAAGTTTTGGGATTGTTCAATGTAAAACATGAGCGCTATTAAGCGTTCATACACGACCAGGACGAAACAGTCAACGCAAAGCATCAATTAGTAGAACGAATTTTGGGAAGTGTTTAATGTAAAACATGAGCACTATTAAGCGTCCATACACGAACAGCACGAAGCAGTCAAGCGCTTATGACGTTTTTTTTAAAGAGTGCTTTTTTGCTTTCAGAGAGAGGTGATGGCATTGTCCAGGTATGTGATATTTTCTTGACTAACCGCAATGCTGTATCGCTTGATTGAGCGAGTGGTAGTGAAAACACCTGTTGATGGCAGTGGTCACTGGTCAGGCGAATATTCCGATGTGCTACGCCATTTTCCATTTTTTCATCAACAATAATAGTCATCAATGAGTCAATTTGCTAACGAGATATATTCATTCGATGCAGGTGTGGGTCAACTTCATCGTTGAGAAGATTGAGTCGGCCAAGTTCAGCAGTCAGGCAGAGATCGAAATATTCACCAACCTCTTCTACCGGTCCTTCTCAGCCCACCATCGGGGACGAGAAATTCAGCTGCCGTCACATATCGGTGGTAGGAACGAGGTTCAACCTGCTGAGCAGTGCCGTGTCGCTACTGCAGAGCGACGCCGACGCGCTGAGTAGCCAGATGATCCGCAGCATCCTCAGGGAGCGCATCTACTCCGCATGCCTGGACTACTTCTGTGGGCCGCAGTCGTTCCCGACCGAGCGCGGAGGCAAGCTACGCGAGAGCATACTCATGATGGTAAAGTTCTGGATGGCGATGCACAACGACAAGAAGTTCCTGCGCCGCACCAGTTTCGGCAAAGACATTGTGGGTAACCAGCTGGCTAATCGCAGCCAAGGGTCGTCGGTGGGAAGCTCGGCGACGGAGAGCGGGTATGTGAGGATATTAATTGAACGGAATTTATTTGCTATTGAATTGCCTGGATGATCAGCAACAAAAATTGCATTTGCCTACTTGGGGAAACCTGACCACCTGATACGCATGGCAGCTTCGCAGCGGGCACGTAAAACAAGCTGATGCTTTACAGTACGAAACAGCACTTACGGCTCGATCAAACAGTATTAAAAAGAAACATATTGTACGTGCGTAACAGGTGAGGTTGATCACATAAACGTGGAGTATTTTTAATTGTACATACATGGCGCTAATGTTTTAAAAGCACAGTATATACGTTTATGTTTTAATTTTGCATTTTACTTAACAGTCTCAATTTATGATAATTCCATAATGTGACCTTACCAATTAAATACGGCATCTTTAAAGTAGCCTTACGTCCTTATTAGAAGCCTGTTTTGACTAAGAATGGAGCTGTGTGCCGCAAATGCATATGATTGTAGAAAGAGTGTAACCTTTTGAGATTTTATGTTGACATTTCTTGATACTCGGTCGACTGTTTGAAAGTTGCATATTGTTAAATACGCTGGTTCATTAAATTATAAAGATGCATTACGGCGAACGTTAACCAACCATACAAGGAAAAAACGCCCAAGAATTCAAAACATGATGACGAAGATTCTGAAGCACCGATAGCACATGCTGCCTAGGTGATAAGAGTAGAAACAGAACAAATATGGCTCGCAGTTTCATGGATAAATAGAAAACGGCGTTTTAGTATTTTTTCCCGATCAGCTACAGGAATGGAGACCTCTCTTGTCAAAGTTAATTATTTGTTCGAGTTTAGCGTCCCAAAACCGCCATATGGTCAAGAGAGACGCTGTGGCCGAGGGCTCCGGAAATTTGGACCAGCTGGGGTTATTTAACATGCACCTAAATTTAAGCAAATGGGCCTCAACTATTTTCGCCTCCGAAGAAAATGGGGCCGCCGCGGCCGGGCAGCCGGGCGCCTTAGCCACTAGACCAACGTGGCGGGTCGTTCTTCTAAAAGCGAGTGCTGGTAGTACTGAGAGTCTTGCGAAAACGTAAGAATTCGCTATGTGGGACTGTGTCTGCACGACTGCTTGAAAAACAAGGTGCCCCAATTGTGACCTGCATTTATTGCCCTGCCTGATTTTTAACTCGAAAAGTGTTTTATGCCGGGGTACGGCATGGCTCCGTCGACGTATTTCCGTCACAGATATGACATACTAAAACATACACTAAGAATTTGCGAACAAAAAAAAAACGACACTGAAAAGTTCCGTAATGGGGCGTTCAGCAGCTACCTCTCATTTTGAAGCGCGCGACGCAAGCCACTAAGCCACGGAGCGTACGCTGTCAAGATTGCTGATGGCAAGCGACTTACATACATCATATACTGTTGGCAGTCCTCAGAGTTCCTAAACTCCACCGCGTTTTCGTAATCAGCAGCAAGATGGCGCAACGGGCTTGCGTTGGGCGCCTCTTGCGTTTTTTTTTTTGATCGCGCGCTTCCACTGGGCATGGTCTCTCCTACTCGCGCACTTATCAGATCAGACAACTCGTGATGCAGGCGAGCCCGAAGGTCACTTCGCTCGCTGCCGCAGTCGCGTATGCGAAAGGAACACGCTGCTCACATACGATGAAGTAAGAATTGTAACAGTTGTTCGCGCTTGTCCGGTACATACTTGTGCATTAGTTTCATGCGTCTTCCTTCTGTTTGAGCAACATGCTTTAATTGTTAAGCTGAGGCAGTTTGTCCTCACTCGTCCAGTGTATGCTCATTTAATGCGTGCTTTCTGCATGAGGTGTGCAATAAGTTTCAAGCTCCTTGCCGTTCTTCCCATGAAATAGCAATACGTTGCTGTAGCATTAATTTGTTCGCCCTTGTGGCGAAACAATGCAAAATAATCACTCAACTACCTAGGTGAAGACACGTTTGATTTTGTGTTAAACTGATTCTTAAAAAGAGGGTTCAGTTTTGCGTATTTTGTACACATGCGGTGAGCGATCCAGGTCTGCGCATTCTTCAGAAGCATTTATGATCGGGTAATCCTAAAAGATAAAATGAATTTTGAATTGGCGTTATTTCGGTTCCTTCACCTTTATTTTCTCGTTTGTAACCTTGCGGTGCGTCTCTCAAGTATACTCCAAACAGATTCAAAGGGTAGAGCTTGGAGACATAATTAGCCATATGTTTAGGGTGACCGCGACGCTACATTTTCGATCCTAATGTTTGTTGTACCGGTTAATCATTGTGGGTTCACAAATGGGCTCGCGGAATTCTCGCGCATTTAGTCAGGAACTTAATTTATAATTGGGTAGTGCTAAAGACACGTGAGTGGTTTGAAAGTCGGGCAGCACTGGCGCACATGCGAAACGTGATGTAACAAGCGGCTTGCCGTGCCAGCGTGCTAACTACGGCGAATAATTTTATTTCGTGGTCAGTTGCGTGCGCAATCGAGCTACTTGAGCTTTATCCTGCTTGACAACCATTCTAAACGGTTCGCAGTCGCTAAAATTTTCGTATAAGACAGCGGCATCGCTTCACGTAGCACTTAACGTCACACGCATCATGGCAAAATGGCGTCTGCAGGCGGTTTCAGTAGCCGGTGACTTCAAGGGGCCATTTCGCGCTAAAGTATCATTTTACTCAAATAGGGAGAGCTAAGCTAATTAGTACGAGTTCATGGTAAAAACTAGGCGTTCTTACACGTATCTGCGAGAAAAGAACGACGCCTAAACATTGATACTCGAACAAGGGGTAATACCAATAGTAAGCCGGCACGTGTTGGTGGTCGCCCACATGTTCCGAGTTGATAGGTAAGACCTCTTGCCCGAGCATGTGAATATAAGTTTTCGCGCTTTCTTTCTTTTTCGCCGCAGTGCGCCTTCGCTGTTGTTAGTATGAGTTTGTGTTGTATTGACTTCTTTCCTTTGACGGTGTTTGCTCGCCCAGTCTTTTAGCATGTACTATTTTGCAGTCCATTTTCCCATGTACCCTATAGATATAATAGACCATGCACTTCTACATTTTGCTAAGGACCCCAAATTGTTGGATGACCATGTCATGGCCCTTTTAACAAGCAGGCCCTGCCGTCTCCTCCAATCAGCTACACGCAGGCTGACTCGTTCCCCACGACGCCCGCCGGCTGGCAGCAGCAGGGCTACAGCCGGCCGTCGACCGAAAGCTCGTCGAGCTCGACCCGAGGCACGACCACGACCACGACGACGTCGCGGGAGATGCGCGAGACGCCACTCGTTTCGGACTCGGCGTACGCCAAGGAGTACCTGCGCAAGCGGTCGCTCATCCTGGCGCTTCTGTCGGTGGAGATCGAGTTCCTGATCACGTGGTACAACCCGCTCTCGCTGCCGGACAGGGCTGTGCCCGGCGAGGAGATCATCAGCGCTTGGAGGAGCCAGCACATCACCGAGAGGGGTTGGGTCGACATGGTCCAGTGCGCCTGGAACCTCTCACCGTTGCTGGCCGTCTACCTGCCCAGCCGCTTTCGGTAACGTGTGGGAAGCAACTATGGGTGAATGCTAGTTGAAAAGAAGTATACTGACACGATTTACAAGCGTCTGTTTTGGCTCGTTGCTCCAAATGAAATTACGGGTGTCGAAAACACTTTAATGAGTGTGCCAATGCTTGGGAATGCATGGAATATACTTCTAATACAGACAGGCGAATAACATTATTACGGAGACGACGCTCTCTCCCCCCTTAGGGGGCGACATCGGTGGGCCCCACCCATGACGGGATGGGGAGATGAATTTCCTCAGCCATGTCATGGGCTCTCTGGATAGCCCGTAGCTGGTCTTCCTTCTCGTTGCTTGTGAAAAGAGATCACCAGTCCTTCTCCATTGAGAGAGACCCGGGGATCTCATGCAAGGCAGGACATAGCCACAGCATGTGTTGCAAAGTGAAACGTGGATTATCACAGCGAGGGCAGGCTGGCTGTATACCGTCCATATATTTAGAGAGTTTAAGCACAGAAGAGTATGCCTTAGTCTTTATTTGACGTAACGTGATAGACTGAGGCTCTGTTTAAAGTTGGCCGCTGTACCTTAGAAAAAACAACCTTTGTTTCGATGAGGAGGTAGTGGTTTCACTGTGACATGTCAAAAGATGTCTCGTGTCATGAAAAAAACGGCCACTCGCGACATACCAGCAACTACTCGCAGCTCTGTCATTTGCTGCCAGTCCCACGTGGTTTACATGAACAAAGCAGAATGAATTGTCATCATGCGACTCAGAAAGCCATTCCTGTGATTTGGGTTCCATATAGGACGCAATGGCACGCAGAGTAATCGGCACTCGCTCGCTCGATTTCGTGCCGACCAGTGCCGGCCATAGCTCCGACGACAGCGCAGCTATGGCCGACTGGGCTCCCCCTACGCCATCTCCTGCCGCCGACATGAGCTCTCGCTGAGTGGTGCCCCGTCCTCGGACTCCTGCGACCGTTTACATCTTTCCTATCTCCTCTCTACTTCCGTCGCTCGCTGTGTCTGCGCCTCGCTCTCTCCTTCCTCTCTCTATATATGCCTTTTAATCCTATTCTTTTAATACCTCCTTACCCCTATCCCTTGTGAGCTACTGTTGAGGTTTCACACTCTGATGCAGACAGTTACGGGGTTCACTTTTCTGTTCTTTTTCCTTTAAGAATCACATAAAAAGAAGAAAGACTCGTCGTATTGACTCGTCGTGATCATGTGCATTGCGGTGTGGCTGGCTTGCAGGGGCTTGGTGATAAAAACGTAAAATCAAACTAATAAGGTTATACGAGTTGTCCGGCATTCGGCGTATAGAGAGCTTTGGAAATAAAAACGAAAAATGCCCCCTTTGAGGTGCCGAAAAATTGTGTCCGTGCTGCTTTAAACAACAATGAAGTGATTTCATTATTAGAAAAGAAAATCGACGTCAAAACTTTGTTTTAAATTTTCCGCAAACGTCTCCAGGAGTGAAGTAGTAATTTCATTTCAGTGTGCTTTATTTTGTGTGTGCATTCACCGCATTTACGAGCAAGAGGAAGTTATTTTCACTGTGCTTCCAAGCAGGCACGTGGCTCTGGTAGAACACCTGCTTGCCATGCAAATGACTAGGGCTCGATTCCCATTCGGGCCCAAACGACCCGGGTTCGATCCCCGCTCTATTACCTCGTTCTCGATTTTTCGCTCATCCGTAAGATCATTTCCCGCTCACAACCAATGACGCCGACATCGGAATTTACGCGAAATCAGCTCTTTAACGCTGTTGCGTAAAAACTTATCGAAAAACAGCCTGCACATCACGTTAATTGTCCCAGTCGCTATGACGCCAGCGATCCGATGTATAGCGGAGGAATTGACGTGGTAGCTAGTATATCTACGATAGTCTTTCCGCCACCGATATCGTTTGTATGTTCACAGCAAGATTCCCTCCTACAGTGAACATAAAAAAGAGCTGAGAGGTAATTAGCTCCACTTGCTTCTTTTTCGCTAGCCGATCTAATGTTATTTCAAGTAATTTCCCCAAATTTCCTGATTACGTAGCACTGTTTGTCTGATTTTTCAGCGTTTCCGGCGGTGATCCCATGTCTTGATGTCCATCAAAAAGCGAGCATATTAGCTGCCCTCAGACACCCAGGAAAACCGTAAAGAGTTTCCAAACCGTTCGGGGCCTAGCTAGATTTGCCAGTGTCATTGTATACGCGATTCGGCACGTTTTTTACACGCACCTGTATGTTAGATGATTCCTGCTTTGTTAAATATATCCAGTCTTAGCCGTTCTGCGCGGCAAGAAACCATTCATCTTTCCTATATTACAGATCATCCGACGCTCTTCGTGGCGAAGTGACCAGACTAGTGCAGGCGAACCCGGACCTGGTGTGCCACATACCCGAGGCTCTACAGTACATGATAACGCCCGACTTCGTGCTCGAGGACAATCCAGACCTGTCCTACCTGCAAGCCTGGGCGCCCGTGTCACCCGTCAAAGTGCTCGCCTTCTTCTCGCGTCTCTACTCGCCACACCCGATCACGGCGCAGTACGCCATCCGGGTCCTTTCGGCTTGCCCACCGGACGTGCTCATGTTCTACATCCCGCAGCTGGCGCAAGCCGTGCGCTACGACAACATGGGCTACATCCGCAACTTCATCATCACGTCGGCGAACATCAGCCAGCTGTTGACGCACCAGTTCATCTGGAACATGCGCACCAACATGTTCCGCGACGAGGACGGACAGGAGAAGGACGCTGACCTAGTTCGAGGTGTTCAACTCCATGATCGACACCATGGTCAACAACCTGACGGGCAAGGAGAAGCTGTTCTACGAGTCAGAGTTCGACTTCTTCACGAAGATCACCGCCATATCTGGAGTGCTGAGGCACTTTCCAAAGGTGATCGATTGAGTTATGGCAAGACATAGCTGCTAGCTGCCACCTGTGTATAGATTTGCCGTGAATAACGACACTAACAGTTTACACGGCTATTCAGCCCCCGTTGTTCTGTTACGAATAAGCGCTGAAAACTAGCCAGCTTCGGGGATCACAGGCACTCGCAGAGGTCCACGTTAGGAAGGGTACAGCTGCGCTGCAGCTCCAAGCCGCTCTTTAGGACTCACTGCTGGCCCTTAGGGTCAGGACGCTGTGAAAAGACGAGGTATTAGAGGAGGGGGGGGGTGCTCCCACATGGGCATGTCTATGATTGGGATGAGTACTGAGCACTATAAAGTATCAGAACTCACAGAGAATCATGGAGACTATACTGTTCATACACAGATAATCGAGGTTACTAGGTGGTGTGAAAACGTACGACCCAGAAACGAAAACCTAGCTTGAAGGCCAGGCTTTAGTCAACTGCATGCGCTGGAAGAAATTACATAACCACAATTATTAAGAAAACATTAAAAACAGGACCCTCAGGTTCATGGACACGAAATACTCCAGACATGACAGTGCAACCACGTTCAGCCGCTTAAAAAATCTTGGCCCCGACATAACTGTTGCAGTCAAAATCACGTCAATATGACGCTAACCACAGATGCTGTAAATGAAGTGGAAGTACATGCGTCACTAGGACCTAAGTTTTCGCGTGTCAGTCAGAGTGAACTATGCGCATTTGCTAGCACCAACCTTTACTACAAGCCACGTGACCCAACTCACCAGCGTTTTGTTGGATGCTACGTTCTGAAGCCGTCTCTTCCTGTCCTCACCAGGGTCCGGAACGCAAGCGGGCCTGCCTCTGCGAGCTGTCCAAGATCAAGGTGGAGCAAGGGTCGTACCTGCCTTCCAGCCCCGAAGCGATTATTGTGGACATCGACTACGCATCCGGGGCGCCAATGCAGAGCGCCGCCAAGGCGCCCTTTCGCGCGAAGTTCAAGGTGCGCAGCGTGGGCATCGAGAAGGTGCAGGAGATCGCCACCGCAGGTTACAAGGACCTGCGCGACTCTGGCTACTTCACCGCCGCGGACATGCGCAGAGAGCACTGGCAAGCCGCCATCTTCAAGGTCTGTGCAGATAGCAGTTCAACGCACTATACAGTCGTATACACATAAGAAATAAAAATTCGGCAGATCCCATGTACCTTGGGAATCTATGTTATGCAAAGCATGTGCAGTGAAGGCAGCGAGTGGCCGTGTTGCATTTTATTGAGCGAATCGGCACGAAATGACGCTAAATAGAACAAGTGGACGCGCAGACATACGTTAAACAGCCACATATTTTTTATATAGCAGTTGTTTACAGTTGCGTGACGATTCAAGCAGCAAGATAGTCTATAGGAACACCAGGCATGGTAAGCTGACATGAAGCGTGGGTGCTCCCGAGGATGGTGGCCTTTGGTACTGCTACAGAACTCAACTTCAGCGGATGGCACCTAACTACAATTGACGTAACCAGACGTTACGGCTGTATTATAGGACTACGTAAGTAATGTTTTGAAAAATGGATAGCCAGCACTCCAACTAGAATTTAGATTTCACGAACATTTGCATCTATTTGAGAAGTAGTTCCGAGACCTGGCATAACTATGGGGTAGAATACTTAAGTGCCATGCAGAATACTTGCGTTCTATTCCTTATTGTACCCTGACATTTATCCCTTGCATTCACCGGGTCAACGCTGACGATGTGAGCTTTTTCTTAACGCTAATGCATTAATATTACCCATGTGTGTTCTCGACGTTTCTGGGTAGAAAGATAGTGTGAATCACCTGTGGGACATAACCCACATACCAGTGGCACATACCCGCCCATGGGTATGTGACACTGTCTAGTGGAAAATATTTGACGATGTACGCGACGGGATCGCGACATTATTCATGTAGAGATCAGTGAGTCGTATTCGTCTAACCATCTTATCCTCCCACAGTAATTTTGGTTGACCCCAAGTGAAGGTGGTGATCCCGAGAGCACCCAGACGTAGGCAGCAATAGATGGGTCGATAGACACTCAAAGGGCCCAGAGTACGTGAAAAAATGCTTCGCAATTAAAAGTCAGAGAATATCTTGTGCATTCGCCTAAGACCCCTTGAATGTGAAAGCAGTCTTTTTTTTCCATCTCAGCCGATCTGTTGGTCTGCCCTCGCTTCCTGCAATTGAAGACGGCACCAACTATTAGTTTCCTGTGGAAGTTCTTTTTCAAACCAAGCATGTACTCAGTAACAGATTTCGGTGGCACCGTTGAAATACACGAAAAGTCCGGCGCCGAACATTTGACATAAATGAGACCTTCGAGGCGGCGCTCTTGCTACATAAGCATTTGTATGTGCCTTTTCGCAGCAATTGGACGGTGACTCTTTAGTCGTGGGCTTGTCGGCGATCAACAGTTTCTATCCCAATCTCATATTTCGTCGGTGTGACTTGTCGTTTAGCGGTGGGAGATTTCATTGTTGCAGGGTATGAATGCGTGACCGTCGTTCTTGCGAGCAGAAACTGAAGTGTTGCACTGCGAAGCACGTGGATGAAGGTTCGAATCGCGGCATGTAGGAAGGAAAGCGTTAGAAGGCAGAGTTGCACGATGCAACTAAAAGAGAAAGAAGAAAAGAAAGAGAAAAAGCAAGATACAAGGAAAGAAAGAGGGAAAAATAGAAAGAGGAAGAGAAAATAAAAAGGGTAAAAGAAAAAAAAGAGAAATAAAGGGAGAGGAAGAGAAAGAGAAAAAGCAAAAGCAAAAAAGAAAGAAAGATATGTCAGGAACTTGCACAGCAAGCTTTTGGCCCCATTTTTCCTATATGGGAAGGTCTTCTCAATTTTTCGCCTTCTCCTCTACCATTTCCTTAGGTCGGCGACGACGTGCGACAGGACATGTTGGCGCTCCAGGTCATCGCGCTCTTCAAGAACGTCTTCAGCATCGCCGGAATCGAGGTGTACCTGTTCCCGTACCGCGTGGTGGCCACTTCGCCCGGCTGCGGCGTCATCGAGTGCGTGCCGGACACCACGTCGCGGGACCAGCTGGGCCGACAGACGGACATCGGCATGTACGAGTACTTCCTGCAGAAGTACGGCGACGAATCCACGCGCACCTTCCAGGAGGCTCGCAGCAACTTCGTCAAGAGCATGGCCGCCTACAGCGTCGCCATGTTCCTCCTGCAGGTCAGTCCTTTAACTTGGACCGCTTCATTTGTGTACGAGCTAACGCCTACGGCCCGTATTCCCGAAAACTTATAATATATGAGGTTTGACATCACAAATCGATGTGATCGAGAGACGCCATAGTGAACAACTCCAGAAGTTTCGACATCCATGGGTTTTCAACCAGCACCTTAACCTAAGCACACCGGCGTCAAGCAATTTCGTCTTTACGGAGCGGCCGAGATTCAATCCCGCCACCCAGGGGTCAGAAGTAGTCGAACGCCATAACTCTTGAACCACCATGGCAGGTACCCGCAAACTCTTTAATCCTGAATTGTTCTATAGAAAAAAAAACACTGTCATCCTGCCGGCGACCTTACCAGTGCCTACCAGTTGGTATTAGTAGAGAAATAATGTCAAGTGGGTATTGCGTTATTTAGCTAGTGCAGTCGTTGTACCGATGAAAATTGAGCCACGAAGGCAACGCACTCTGAACAGAATCGTGGGGCACCCAAAATCAAAAGCCCACATAAGCGCTACGCAGTAGCCGTTACCTTGCATGTAACCAAATTTCGAATAATAGATGTTTAGATTATGGATATTTCCATGCGGCAGATAATAGAAAAAGGAAAATGGATTGAGGAGCTTGTTTTCTTTTAGACACAGCCCAGTATAGCCAACAGGCAATATGGAACAGAAGTACTATTAGTGCAACTGATAAATATAAACACTGGATATGAGAAGAACGCAAGCTACATAATGCATACGAATTCTTTACTGAGAATGTTATTCTGTGAAGTCTCTATCAGTCGAAAAATCACATCTGTGAAGATAGTCAGCCAAGATGAGTGCAAAAAGAGGGACGTGAAATAGGGGAAACAGAGAAATCAGTCATTTGTTATCAGCGTTCCAATTGGCTACGCATCGGGTATTTGTTGTCCAGCGCTGCTTCAGTTAACAATAATTATGAACCAAAACCAAGCAGCCCACCTGTCCGTTGTCCCGCAATACCACTGCTTGACTACGCCCGATGCTGGGAAATGGCCACTCATTTTTTTCCCATTAAGCTGATCTGGCTAAGTGGGAAACATGGGAAAGGCGGTATACAAGCAGTTTAATGACATTGATAAAGTAAAGTAGCCTTCTGTAGGCATTGATAAGTCTGCTTATGTTGACCACCTTTGTCGAAAGTTTTAGATGCGGAGCATCTAATACTCGAGGCTTGTAGTGCGGCGCCGTCCGCAAGTTTCCTCCTCCTTCTTCCACCATCTGTGCATCCCTTCCTCCTCTCCACACCGCGCGCGCTTCTCTCCTCCACCATCTGTGCATCCTTCCTCCTCTACACACCACGTGTGCCTCTCCTCTTCACGAACATTCGCCAGCTGTATGATGATGCGCGCATGCGCCGTCGCGCTTCGAGAACATCGTCAGCTGACGCGCGCGCATGTGCCGTTGCACTTCTCCCCCTTCTCGAACATTCGACAGCTGACGCGCGCATGCGCCGTCGCGCCGTCGCCCACCATCTGTGCCCCGCGCGCTTCTCCCCTTCGAGAACAATCTACAATTCTCCAGATTCTCCAGCGAACGCGCATGCGCCGTCGTGCTTCGCGAACATTCGACAGCTGACGCGCGCATGCGCCGTCGCGCTTCGAGAACATTCAACAGCTGACAGCGCATGTGCCGTCGCGCTGTATATATAGTCAAGGTCGGCGCTCGCTCGCTCAGTTGCCGCTTGTCGGTTGGTTTGTACGGCGCGTCGACGTCCGAGGTCGCGGTGAAATGAATGCCAACGTATTCACAAACACAATGATCGACGTCCCTTCGACCAGCGCCGCCCATTCGCGTACGTGTCGTACGTGTTCACTCATTTAACACTCCCTTCTACAACCACGTTAACCAATTTAGCCATCTACCCAAGTAAGTCGCAATTCAACACCCCATTTCACAACCACGTTAACCGATTTAGCCATCGACCCAAGTAAGTCGCAATTTAACACCCCGTTAACCAATTATATGCTCCGCATCCTCCTCAATGTTCCCTCGAGGGAAGCTGCGGGCAATATTTTTATTTAGCTTTTTTTCACTATCAGGTTAAAGATCGTCACAACGGTAACCTGCTACTGGACGAAGACGGCCACATCATTCACATCGACTTCGGCTTCCTCTTCGAGAGCTCACCTGGTGGCAACATCGGCTTCGAGCCGGACATAAAGCTCACCGAGGAGATGGTCATGATAATGGGGGGCAAGCAGGAGGCCGAGCCGTTCAAGTGGTACACCGAGCTGTGCGTGCGCTGCTTCCTGGCCGTGAGACCGTTTCGCGAGGACGTGGTCACCCTGGTATCCCTGATGCTGGACACCGGTCTGCCCTGTTTCCGAGGACAGACGGTGCGCCTGCTGCGGCTGCGGTTCGCGCCCACGGCCACAGAGCGTGAGGCGGCGGCCTTCATGATCAAGATCATCAACGACTCGTACCTAAGCATCAGGACCAGGACGTACGACATGATCCAGTACTACCAGAACCAGATCCCGTACTGAGGTCCTGCCCAGTATCAGGAGGGATGTTGCGTCACATACCGGAGTGATGCAAGAAACGTACTACGTGTACAATCCGTACTACAGGATGCAAGATAATTGTGAGCACCTTGTAAATGTACACTGACAACCATCGTTATGTGCCCAGAGTTAACCAGAGCGTAGGGTACCGGGTTTTTTTGACTGAGAGCCACATGACGCAGTTCCACGAAAGGCCAGCTGGTGGTACAAAAACCCCAAAGCATTATCCAAGGAAGTTTGACGAATTCGGCGTGAGCTTTGTGGTCGATTATAGCTGTGGGACACTGGCGTCGACATTAGCGTACACTCGTGGAGCTTTTCTGGCTGGCTTGCGAAGTGGGGATTAGTTGGCAGTGGCGCTTGGGGACGGAGCCGAAAATTGCGGTTGTAGTTTGATTAACGAGTTACGCCGCGTGCGTAGTGTAAATTCGCCTGTTTTCGTTTTCATAGATTTGAATATAAGTACTATATAGATAGCCACCACATCCTTCTTTTAAATTTTTATTTATATAAGTGCAATTGAAGCGCCATTTTATAGTATTTTTTGAAATGTCAAGTGTTATCACGAAAATACTCGCTGTACCTTTTATTTGGGTAATCATTATCGAATAGAGAAGTTGAATTTGCCATAACCAACGCCCCTCTCGAGTCTCTGCCTACTGTTCAACGGTCTAGTACGCAAGCCTCATCCACTCAATAACCAAGAAGGCTACATCGCTCAATCTTATTTTGCTAGACTGTCTGTGCAAATCTATGGTGTCTCCCATGAGAGTGCAGTTACCGGAGCTACTGCAGCCATACCAACGTTCCAGAGGTAAGGAGCGTGACAAGGTTCCGGGTAATGACTCGAGATTTGTTCTCATTCTCATTCTCGCACTACTTTTAATCGGCAACGTGTTCTTGGCCACAAACAAAAAAATTGCCTAAAGTGCTTTGAAAGTACTCAAAAGCTTTTTAAATGGCAGATAACTCATGCAAAGCATTGGTGAATATACAGCACGTGCAGTTGTGGCCACGTCTGCCTAGAGCGCAGCTGGTTTCGCTCTGCGGAGCGAAATTTTGAGGCAGTTTCGGGCTCTGAAACGACTCTGAGTCCACATTCACGAACAAACCTTGACCTTAACTCATTTTCCCTCATGTTTCTGTACACTATACGTGGGTTATAAGGGCAGAGAAACGGTGACATTGTAAAAGATAACATTGATTTATGCATACCAGCCTACTTTGTTCGTCAGGCCCAATAAAGGGTTAAAACCGATACGGAAACCTCGAGGTAAGGTTGAGGTTGGCTCGTGAAAATGAGTCTAGCTTTCTGGCTGACCACGTCAGAGCCCGATACTGCCGCAACGTTTTACCTCGCAGAGAAAAAAAAAAAACTAGCTGTTCGCGGGCTCTACGCAAACGTGGCTGTGGCTGTATACATGATCGGCGTCAGAATAACTGTCGAGTGAGGGAGTCATAAAAATCATGGTTGATCCCTCTTTACATGAATCAATATAACACGAAGGTAAAACATTTCTTCACAGAAGCAGTTGAGCGTTTATTGTGCATTGTTTCGTCACAAGGGCGGAGGAATGAATGCTCCAACCAATTGCCAAGTCACGCCAAGATCGGCAAGCAGCTTGAAACTTGCAGCGCGCAACTCAAGTAGAAAGCATGCACGAAATTAGCATGTACACAGTACGAGTTCGGACTAATAACTGTCACAGTTCGACACTCAATGCGCGCTCTTCAAACAGAAAAAAAAAGATGCGTGAAACGGACGCACAATTATATACTGGACAAGCGCAAATGAGTCTCAATCCTTACTTCGTATGTGAGCAGCGTCTCCTTTCGTAAACGCGGCCGCGGCAGCGAGTTAAAGTGACTTTCGTGCCTTCGTGCACTCCAGAATCGCGAGTCTGATAGGCGTGCGCGCAGGAGATGCCTTGCTGCGTGGAGCCTGCGCTCGACGAAACGCGAGAGGCTTGCTACATATGACAAAAACCCCGCTGAAGTTTCGGAACTCCGAGGACCGCCAAACAACGTATGGTGTATGTGAATTAATTGTCGTTAGCATCCTCGACAATGTACGCTCCTAGGCTTAGCGCCACACGCTGTGGATCGAGAGGTCGCTGGTTCACCGCCCCGTAACTAAACCTTTCCTGCTCGTTTTTTTGCAATTTAAGTAAATATTTGAGATCGTCATATCCGTGACGGAATTACGCAGCAGTGCCATGGTAGATCCTGGCAAAACATTTTCTTCTTAAAAAAGAGCGTATGCAGGGTACAATATTTTGACCAAGGGATGCTGTGGTCACCAATGTACACGGTGACCGTTACTTAAGCAAAAACGCATGCAACTTTCAGGAAGGTGGCACAACTATAGGAACAAACCAACGCTACTCGACAGGCTCCAAGAGTCCCACATGACCTTTCTTTCTTTTCGGCGTCTACAACACGCGACACTTTTATGCTGTACAATAAAATGCTCAACATGCGAGTATATTACTACGTGCGTCACGCTGCTGCTTAGCTGTGTAAGTATTGATACCATAATCATTCAGGACCAAAAGCCTTTCTTGAATTTCCGCTTACCCATGTCCTTATTTTTAGAGTGCACCATTGCATGGGTGAGAAGTGTAAGAATATTGCTACCCATTTTTTTTAAGCAGTCTTAATCACGAAGCTACTGAATCAAGGAGTGAGGTGACCCGAGAGGCATATGAAGAAGAAGAGCGTGGAATCTGTGGCACACCCACGCAGGGTGATTGGCCAAGAACTGGGTAGTTCTAACGAATATTTCACAGCGAGAGCGTTTATGATGCTGATAATGATGATGATGATGATGGCCTAAACGAATGGCTCTCACCCACTCTGGGGGATTGGCCAAGAAACAATTATTTAGATAGTGGATCACATATTACTTTTAAATCTAATTATTTTTTTCAGAAAAAAAAGAAGTAAATTCTACTAATTTAGAGATTTGCATTATTATTGTTCCTATCTAATTTCTCTTTATTTATTTAGCAAGCGTTGTAAAAAATAATCTATAATGAGGTACAGTGTGGCCAATCCCCCATGTGGGTATGAGCCAAGATTTTCCTAGGAGACAAGACAAGACGAGATTTGCAATCAAAACCGCCTTGGAACGATAACGGAATCTTTGTACAGCAGAACAGATATCCCAGTGACAATGACTTCACAATGCCACTGTAGTTGTTTGCCGCCGCCGCCAGTGTCCGCACCTACATCGCATGAAATTAGAAAAAAAATAACCTAGCGCCAACGACACAATGGGGCTCGAACGTGGTTCCACTGGGTGCCAGTTCAGCATTCTACCACTGAGTCACTCCGGCTTTTTTTTTTCATGGTATTTAATAAAGTACTTGCGCTATAAAGACAAACTCAAGCGAACAAAAGTACAATCAAATTGCGAAAGTAAGCGGTCAAGCGTTACTCATAAACACTAAATGGCTAACACAGCGTGAGTTCCTCACATGGAGAGTTCTTCACATTGTGTTATACAAACAAAAAAGGGGTGAGGTCAAACAGTTCTCTAAGACGGAGTACCAGTCCGGTCTAAAGTCTAGCTCGTCATAAATGTTTTTTAAGTGGAGAGCCATTTGAATGAAGTGTGCGCTTGAAGAGGTGGTAGGCTCTGCATTGCGGTCTTGCATTCGTGTCTTCCACAAGCTGTGCATACCCATGAGGAAAAACATATCATATGGTACTTCATCAAGCGCTGCTGGTAGAAGATAACGTATTGTGTGAGAATCAATGACGAAACGTTTTTTTCAGTGCTCGCTGAAGGACATCCCAAAACAGTTTGGCATCTTTGCAGCTAACAAAGCAATGTTCAATCGTTTCCGGCACATCACATAGACGGCAGTTAACAGACGGAATGAAAATACCCTTTCTTTCTAACCATGTGTGCTTGGGACTTGTGGCAAACTTTCCTTAGGCAGGCTTGATGTCTGGAAAGCAATCACAATATTACGACTCGTAAAGCGTTTTAAAACAGCGGCAGACCAACCAGTCGTCGCACAATGCGAATAGCCACATTACAGGATATCCCCAGCACGTGCCAAGCCATAGACTCAATCTTTACACTGGAGGAGTGGGAGATGCTTCTACGCAGCCCAGCTCCCACTGATCAGCTCATGGCTGTCCAGCGGGCCCATGAGGTGGCCGGAAGGCTTGGCTTACCGGTCCCTACGTGGAACTGAACCGGGTGCGTTACTCAGTAACGTTCCTCAGGACCAGAATAAAGTTATTTTCCTTCCTTCCTCCCTAGCATGTCGGAAATGCACGTGCTCCACTTTTTTTATAGACAGTGAAAGAAGACGACGATGTTCGGAGAGAGACTTCTCTTGGCCAACAAACAAACAAACAAACAAACAAACAAACAAACAAACAAACAAACAAACAAACAAACAAACAAACAAACAAACAAACAAACAAACAAACAAACAAACAAACAAACAAACAAACAAACAAACAAACTCTCGTGCTGCAGTTTGCCTGTGTGGCGTTTGAAGCCTGTGTAGCTTGTGTTTTCTTGAGAGCTCAGTAAATTATTTCATTTCTACAATGTCTCGGCTGCTTCAAACAAAGACGCCGCAAGCTAACAAACGTAATGAGTGGTTCGTCCAATGCTCCAATCCAATACGAAAGCATGCTCTTGTTCCCCTATTAACTGTGGCGCATACTCACTTCAGCCATAATTCCTAATCGTCGTCAGCCACTGCATGAACAATTGGCACAAAATGCCTTGCAAGTGTTTAGCGGCTACCACACTTCTCAGAAAAAAAGACAAAAAATTAGCATGGGAAAATGCTGGCCTACTACCGAAAAAATTGTTATTAATAATGCCATAGTGGGTATCAAGCAAGTGTGATAGCAGTAGTTACCCAATGAGTGCGTTGAAAACGCTCTGAAAGGCCACTCTTCTAGCGTTCGCTGTGACTGTGCTGCACCTTGCGCGCAGACATGGCCTTTTCGTTAGCTTACATATTTTGAAATGTTGAGAGGAATTGACAATTAGGAATTACAAATATAGAAAATGAAGCCAAATAGTTTCAGCGAAAGCAATAAATAAATAAACAAATAAAGCAAAGGGAACTTTACCGTCACTGAACGTTAGGGACAAAGCCCCCACGTAGAGAGCATTTAGAGTTAAGCTCCAATCTTTTGCGATGGAAGGCGGCATCTAATGTAATCTTGCACATATACTAGCACTGAAAAATGTCAGCCAACTATTGCTTAATACTCGCTTATGTTGGTATACTCTTGATTATTGTTGCTGGCAGATGACATTACTAGCAAAACAGCTGTGTTTTGGGCAATTAGCAATAGTGTTTCATTAGCAGTTAAACCTAAACAGAAATGTTTAGACAAAGTGGTTAACGATTTAAAGTACTCGGCACTCTACTATATGGAAGAGCTAAAACCGTCCCTAGGGCCTCACATTTTATGAGGCCGCATCGACAAAAATTACGCCTTGGTGTAAATAACACGCACTCGAGTGAAATAACTGTTAACAGCAGTACTAATATTAAGAAATAATAATATTATGTGTGGCTCGAAGTCCCAATTCCATAGGTATGATAACGAGGGACGCTGTAATGGAGGGCTTCGGATATTTGGACCACCTGGTGTTTTCTAAAACATCTAAAACACGCACTGATATTCCTCTAGGATTCCGACTTCAACAAAACGAGACAGCCGTGGCTGGTATCGAACTCGTGACCTTCCGGTCAGCAGCCAAGCATGTTGTCAGCCATTCTAAAGTTTATTTTTCTAATACTGCTGATCCTACCATTGAACGCACTCTTCTTTATTTTGGCGCCCTTTCTGAGCCACTCTCTCACCATTGCCTTGAATACATCACCGCCACCATTACCATCGTCTTCTCATCATCAGTAAATATGGGCCTTCTGTGAAAAAAAGGAAGACGCACTCGACGAAACAACATTTCTTCGCCACCGAGAGAAATATTATAACGATTAAAATAAGATCTTACTAAATTCAGCCGGTTTTAAATGTTTCGTTCTGAAGAACTGACAACCGAAATGATTACCATAATTCACTGTCATAACTCACTGTCATAATTCAGCATCTAGGAAAGTTACCCTAAGGAAATCAATGAAAAAATGCGCCCCTTCCTCGGTCAATCTATTGGACTGGGCATAAGTCATGGTCAGAAGACAACAGTAACTATGACAATCACGAGGGCACAAACTAGCTCGAGCCACGAGTCAATAAGAAGAAGAAGTGAGCGAGGTGGGTAGCTTGGTACGCCCGCAGCCCCAGAAATTCGAAGCAGTTTGTACTCGCCGGAGCAAAGCGACGAAATCAAGCCGTTCACCCCCTCGCAAGGTCAATGACGGGCCACCGGGGTAGGCGGCGGGACCGCAGTCACCGGCGCGGTGGCCGCGGCGAGGACCGAAGTCCAGCAGTGGCCAAGTACCGGTCCCCACGACGCCATCAAAGCGCCGGTGGCAAAGGACGTGACCAACGGTCAGCGTCGCGGCGTTCCTCTGTCTCCCATTCCTCATCGCGCAGCGAAAGGAGACGCCGCGTGGCCGTCGTCGGCGCCGCTTGGCTACTGGCCGTAGTCCTAACCGTTCTGGGGGGCGTTGGCATCGGCACGCTGGCCGTGCGCTACGCAGACTTCTTCCAGCGTGTGGCGTGAGTGTATAGTGCCTTTTGTTCTGTAGCTAAAGATACGTGGTTGAACATGGTAAAACCAAGGTTGTCGAACAATAGCAGCAAAACAGCAGAATTCATGACGCACTTTTATCCCATGCGTCAAGCCCCCCGTGGGAAAACGTGACGTGCAGTACATAGCCTGGAGTCATGCGACAGTAGTTCAGGTCCCGAGGCGCGCACCCTTGCCTGACAGGCTCTGGCTTTCACCGATCGTCGAAGATGGGTGCGCGGGAGAAAAAAGACCAACACTGCGCATGCTAGTTGCTATGGCGACGGATTTCGAAGAAGAAAGATGAATCAATTTACGTTTGTAGAAGTTGAAGGTCAAAGCAGAAGCTTTGCACACACATGTGCTCCTGTTCCGGCAGCTGACCCGCAATTGTTCTTGCGGGACGGTGCTACTTCTTGTGTATCCTAGTTAGTTTCTCCGCATCATTCTAGCGGCGCTTGTTCGGTTGGTACCATCCGCTATGTCGCCGGTAGACTTAGCACTTGTCAGCAGCCGAGGTCGAAAGAGGAGTGCCTTTGTAGTCAATGTTTAAAGGTGCGCGCCTTATGGCATCGGTAAAAAAGGGGTTTCCTGCCCAAAAGAATACTAGTCCTGTTGTCGCTCCTTCTGACTTCCAAGGAATCATGCCATCTCCTCACATTTCTATGTCCTCTTGCTTTGTCACCTAGTCATGTAACTTTGGCAGAGTTTTTTGTCTACTCGTCGTGTCAATTATCCACGTCACGCCCGCAGGTCTCCTTCGGCCCCTTCGCCCCGGAGCTACCGCCCAGCGCGGAGGTTGGAGCCCGACGGCTCGTACATGGACTCCCCGGGCTTCACCAAGAACAAGGGCGCCGATGCCGTCCCGGTGGAGACGTGCGACTCGGACGTCTGCCTCTGGGAAGGTGCGTGTCCATCGCAGCCCTTTACTTATTGTGGTCATGTTCGCGTACGCGAGTACGTTTAACAAAGTGCCGCCTTAGCACTGTCATGTGCGCGTGATAGAGTAATGACTTGAAAAATCGACATCATGGGCGAATGCCTAGAGGCTGTTCTTAGCTGTAGCCAGCTTCTACGCTCCGATATGCAGTATTCATTCGTATATTGTTTCATGCCTTCGTTGCCTATCTACTGCCACGGGCTGAATTTTATTCATTATTACAGAACAAGACAGAAGTAATATGAATAATTAGTAATACTCATAATATGATCCTGTGTTTTACGTCCCGAAACCCCGATATGATTGAGAGACGCCGTAGTCGAGGGCTCTGGTAGTTTTGACCATCTGGTGCTCTTTATAGCCAATCTTTATAGTCTCTATCTTTTCGCCTGCTCCGAACGCCTCAACAGGGATCGGAACCCACTACCTTCGAAAGAGCAGCCGAGCACCCCCAACAGCTACACCGCTTCGGCAAAACCGATACAGAAGTGTATATTTCTATATTTACATGCCATGTCATATTGCATTCACTTTTACCGGGGTACAAGTTGTTACCATAATATTGTTGCATTCTCGGCTTGAGCTGATAATTTGTTAAAATTCGGGAAAAGAACAAATAAAATTTTATTCAACCAAAGGATTCGGGAACGTAGTTCGTCCCAAGGTCCCCACGTGACCCCACTACGCTAAGCATTCGTAAGCTCATGCGGTTGTGTCATAAGGATCCTTAGCAGTTGTGCACACAATTCCTGACGCCCGCTAACGTACTTGAGTGCTGAAACTTGCAGTTTTTAACTCTGCGGCTATATCTGTTGACAGAAACTGATAGCCATAGAGTTAAGTTTGGGTGGAGTTACTGGATACGCTTAAACTCTACATCGGGCTAGTTTCTGTCGCAGAACCATCACGTCCGCACATTCATACAGTGAATGATTTGGTGATGTGATAGCAATAACTGTTATCAACTTATTTATTATTCATTGCTAGCCTATAGTGTACCAGAATTGCTAGCAACAGGCAGGCGCGTACAAAGAAACACAATCGTAAATAATAAGTGTGAAAGTTGTCTACTACCTAATCTTTACTAATTTAACAAATTACCGCTTATTAGAAGCTCGATTGTTGATGCAAAAGAAGCTTTACAGTCATACTTTACAATATTCACTAAACTTGTGACAAATGACATGTCAGATTGTGTTATCCGTTTGTGTGAACTCTTCTTTCACGTTGAACGTATTTTACTGCCCTTTATTGTTATACTTCACACGTGCGAATATGCACCTAATGATGCGGCGTGAGTGTCATGAAGGGCGCAACTTGTACGAGAAGTTCAACGAGTCCGTGAACCCGTGCAACGACTTCTACGGCTATGTCTGCGGCTCCAGCAGCTGGTACCGGGACAGCCAGCGCATTGACACTCGACCCTACCGCATACACAGCCCAGGACAGCTCATGTTCGACCTGGCCGACCTGCAACGGCGCCTGTACCGGCTTCGCAATGACCGGTACCACCAACAGCCGACGCTCTTCACAAACCAGGCAAGGCAAATTTTTCTCGATCGTTTCCCTATCGGAAAAATTGTCATGGTGGATACTGGAAAACATGGTGGGAGTAGTGGAAATAATAGTGGGCATGGTGGAAATAATAGTGGGCATGGTGGAAATTATGATGGCTATGGTGGGACGTAGTGGAAAATATGGTGGTTATGCTGGGACATACTGGGTGGTATGGTGTACAGATGATGGGTAAAGTGGAAATGATGGTGGAAAGCAGAGGCTAGATAGTGGGCAATAATGGGACACTCTGCCCACCATTGCGATAATGCTGGGAAGCCCTAAGCATATGGTGGGTGGTGCTTATTATGGTGGGCTACATGGTGTACCAAGTTGAGAAACTCTTCCCACCATTGCGATAATGCTGGGAAGCACTAAGCAGATGATGGGTGCTGCTTGTTATGGTGGGCCACATGGTGTACCAAGCTGAGAAGCTCTGCCCACCATCGCGATAATGCTGGGAAGCAGTAAGCAGATGATGGGTGGGCTTATAATGGCGTGCAATTTATATAGTGTACAAAGCTGGGATCTGTACACTACATGTTCTACCACCATGATTTCCACCAAAGGTTAGGCCTACTGACCGAGCCCGTACAATTGTGTTATCCGTGCTTCCGGGTTTCAGAATACATGATTACGACGATTAAGTATGACAATACAGCGCAGCCATATGGCATCAATTAACCTAAATGAAGAATTTTTCATTGTGTATGGTGTCCGCTCAAGAAGCAACAAACATCGATGCGACGCGATTAAAGCACTCCCAGAAAACGTAATTGTCTTCTTACCGACAGCCGCCGGTCACACTCGCCGGCACTTCTCTAGCTTTTGTACGAGAACTCAAACGTGGCAATTCGTGTGCTTGGTGAACCAATATGATAGCGTAATGTTTCCGGCACACTGCATTCGTTTTGGCCAAGCCGTTATGTAGTTGTTGCTTTAGCGAAAGAGCTACAGCATTGCGCTGGCGCGACCGCCCTCTACATTGCGCGAAAAGCATCCCAATACTCAATCAAATAAATTAGGCGAGCGTATCTATGGAATGAGCCTAGAAGCGTCATAAAGCGTGAACAGATGTCGCCCTTTAGAACGAGCGCGAAACGGATATTAAACTTGGCAGACCCCGCCGGTAAACTGTCGCTGCTCCCCAGTCCACTTGGTTTTTTTTTTCTTGAAGTTGTGAATTGCAAAAAATAGCCCTAGTGTCATTAACATAGTGGCAATCGTTACAGGCCGCAGTTGCTTGTGTTTAATAAATGTGCAATATTTAGTAGCAGGTGTAGATCTTGTCTATGTTGTGTACACCACAAACATAACCAAGTTGAACCTTAAGTTTGTATGGCAACTAAGTATTTAACACGCAATCAACGTCATGTTGGTGTGGCGGCGCAGTGGTTAGCGTCTTTGAATGGGAATCCGCAGGTTGCACGTACGATCCTCCGTGGCGCCTTGTTTTTTTTTTTTACGGAACGGGTGTTTTTTATACCGTTTTTATAGAATTCTTTTTTATTTTTTGTGGCAGCTCGTCAAGGTGATTCTGACGTCATTTCGCGCTCAAGTGTTGCCGGCACTGCAGCACCCACCATACCCACCATGCGCCATGGTGGGCGTTTCCCACCATTCACCCACTACATTAATCCACTATAATGGTGGGTGGTGGTTTCCACCATGCCCACCATTCGTTTTTTTTTCCGATAGGGTTATTGCTGTGTCATCGTCATCACCACGAATATGTTCAGGTTTACTGGTGAAATTTCTCTCACATGTCGTGAAATACCTTATCAAATATCTCTTCAAGAAGGATCTTTGGGCACTGTCGCAAGCTTCTCTGGGCCGCGGTAATTGGGCGTGACCCCAAATAGATCACTGCGGAGACACTGACGTCACCATTTGGGCTCTGTTGCCTAAGTCAAGAGAGGAGGCTTTGTAAGTTTTCTGCGAAAGTGCCTATACCGGTAATTTTTAACTTTCGTTGCAGAACTAATATTCTACCGTTTCCTAATGTGCTTTATTTTTATTGACACCGGTTCTATCGTACTCGTACGGGTCACCCACGCAACTCCTGCAATGACAACTAGAACGATAGCTATTCACCTATGCGCTCTAATGCGAACAGACCCTTCTTTTCTTTCAATGTTTCGTGCATTCCCAATATTGTAACAATAATGATTGTTGGCCTAGTTGGTACTTGCTTGCTGACATGCTTTGGTCGCAAATAACACAAATACAAAGTAAAGAAACACTCAACGACAAGCACAAGCGGCACTTCCAACTAAAGTAGACCGGTCGCAAATCCAGACTTAAGTAACAACATACAGACATGCGCAGTCTTCACACAGCCTTACGCTATCCAGCTATCGAACAATCTCTTCTCCGATAAGTACAACGTCACCGATGGTTCACTGATACAACTTTCACCTCTCTTCTTAATGTAATATGCTTCCAGCAACTTCCCAATATTGCTACTTTATCGCCCTTTGCGTAGTTTTTAGCGACATGCATATGGATTAGTGAAACCACTATGGCTGGAAAAGTTGGCAACAGAAATCCCGACAGAGCCCCACCAAGTGCGATCTTTTGTTAAAGCATATATATATTAAAATACGAACGCAAGTGTACATCAATTACGACGCGCGGAAGGCTATTCCGCATCTTTTCTCTGCTACAAACACAATGAGCCTACGACATTGCGCGCCGTACATGCAGTTCATAACGTGCAGTTTGTCGTATCGTATCTGCAGTAGCGTATTTGCAGAGTTGACTGGCGGATCATGGGAGAGGCCTTTATCATGCAGTGGACGTAGTCTGGCTGATGCTGATGAGGATTTTCAGTAGCTATGATTGACTTAGAACCTGTCGTATTCATTATTTACGCTACCAGAACGTCCGAAACAATACTACAGTGTTTTATTCCCCATGCTTGTGCACGAGTTTCAAGATAATAAATGATACGCGTAACTCAAGGATACGTGTAAAATGGTTCATTGGTGTTTTTATTTTCGGTTTGAGGAGCTATTCTTGAAGGTTCCACACATTTTTGAAGGCCACTTCGTAAAGCATCCGCGCTGCCTTAACAAAGATAGCGAATCAGTCACAACCTACTCTGCTTGATTTTGTTACAGCTACTCTTCTTCCTCAGCAACTGCACCCAACCAGAGAAGAACGACTCGGTATGGATTACCATGAAGAAGATATTTGTCGAAAATCTGCTCCAAGGATGGCCTTTCAAGAAGGATCCTAAGACTTTGAGGATCTCTGACACATCCATGGTCCTGGACAAGTACATCGGCCTCTTTGCCTTCGTCAAGGTGTCTCTGCGCAAGGACCTCGAAGACGATGACTACGAGGTGCACCTTGAGGCTCCGGAGCTCATGCTCAAAAGACACCAGCTCGTCTACCCGTACGAATCCGTGGCCGACTACGCCAAGCGAGTCGAGAGACTACTATCAATATTCACCAACGCGAGCATGGTGAAGGCCGCCGAGGACATCGTGCAGTTAGAACAAAGACTTTTGATGATCAAGGTGCAGTCTTTCTTTGTCCACCTAAAGCCTCTCCTCTCCCTCTTTTTTCTCTAAGCCTCTAACATGTATACCGTGGAACAAATTGTGATCCATTAACGAACGTAGAAAATCGGTTACGCGGAATCCTGAAAGGCGTATGAATGTTTCGGTAAGATATTCGCGCTCATATTTTTTGTCGCGTTAAGGTACGACAGACGTTTAAAAGGTTTGTTCAGAAAAATAAATCATCAGTTGAAAAAAGCCATGGTACGGGATAGCTATACACCAGCACATATCCGAAGTGTTAGCTCTGCCACTTCCCTATTTTTTGTGGCGATGTATATTTGTGCATACGTAAGCGACAAAGCTGCCGTACTTTTCATGACTGTTATGCTATAGCGTGTGTTAAAGCAGTTTATGGAGGTACTATTCACTCATATAGCATTTCGTGTCCTCATTCCACCAGCTGTCCCGCAAATACTGCACGTTAACAAAAAGTGGAGAATAAAACTGACTGCAGCCTGCTGTCACACTATTGAGCACTGCTTTAGCGCTTATTTCACAAAGCTTCTCACAACCAGCCCCAAGAAATGTTGCACTGGGTATATGCAGCCTCGCTAGCCGTTATGACCGAATGAGAGTACTACAAAATCTATCCGCTAATTTTCATGTTGATTTACAGTGGGCGTACAACACATACGTTGGACAACGTGACTTTCAATAAAAGTCAAAAGATGGCGTTGTGCTGGCAGCTTGCTGTGTACAGAAGGGATAAGCGCATAGAGATTGCGACACCACGAATGACGTGGTGAAGGGTCATATGCTTTTCCCTAAACTCGCCGAACAATCCCAATACAACATTCATGCGCAGGAGCCCCGAAGGTTTCTTCCGTACGATAACCGAACGGCCACCATCAAGGAGCTGCAGCGCCGCAACGCGTGGCACTGGCTGACCTACCTGAACTTCCTGATGGAAGACGCGGGCGTCCAGTTCCACCGACAATCCAGCGTGGTCCTGCTGGACCGCGAGTACGTGACGCGCCTCTCCCACATGCTGAGCAAGTTCTCGGGCAAAACGCTACTCAACTACCTCGGCTACGCCATGATCGTCAAGTTCTCCCCATTGCTACCCAGCGACGTCGACTTCGTCGTGCCGCTGAGCCACGACAACTACCTCGAGACTGTGCCCGAGCTCCTTCAGGCAGTGCGTTCACATGCTCGAAAAGCTGTGCCCGTACCTGGTTCGCAAGATGGCGCGTATGACGCTGGGCCGGGAAAACGCGACCAGGCCTCACTGGCGCTATGACGAAGAGATGCACAAGCTCGTATACATCGCCCGGGAGAGCATGAAACAGACGGTGCAGCGGGCACCCTGGCTTAGCCAGGCTGAAGTCGACGCCGCTTCGCAGAAAATCGAGAAGCTTCGGGTCGACTTCCTGGCTGCCAGGGAGAGCGAGGAACAGGTGAACGCTTACTACCCACAGTACGTGAGTCCGTTTCCGGCTGACGACGCTCTGCTGGGCTACTACAAGCTGCTGAACGAGACCATGTCGTTCTACTGGATCACCAACGGGTCTTACGACCTGGACGCCCGCTACCAGGCGTCCTCTCTGGTAGCCGGAGAGGTCGAGTACGTCGCCGAGAAGAACCTCATATTCATCCCGCACGGCCTCATCGCGTTCGCCAGCAACATCACGCAGACGTTCGATCCGCTCTTTGTGCCTATCATCGTGCCTGCCATTTTGCGAGCCATGTTTGCGGCCGTCGACTTGCGCGGTTCGACCGTCAACTTCCAGAATCAGGCGAGTTCTTCGAAGCGCTTATGTTATGTAGAAGTGTCACTACAATGTTCAGTGTTTGCTGGTACTAATTTCATCAGCTATCGTAGCGACTGAAGCTAGAATTGCGGGCAAAAAAGAAAAAAAAGCTGAAATTCATCAATACTTTCCAGCGCTTGTATGTGCAGTCGTCACCAAGCGTTAAACGCTCCACAGCGTCAGCTGGACTGGAGTGACTGATGCCAGCCACGAAGTGTCTGGCCTTGTAGCCGAGATAATAGCTCAGTATGCTTGTATAGTAAGTCGGCACACATGGGTAGCATCTCGCCAACAGAACCCACTACGTGGCGCTGTCGTCAAACTGTTTTTGAACACACTGTAGAGCATTGAAGTTGGGCTTGCTGAAGACTGTGCCTGTCGTATCTTTTGTTAGAAAAGAAAGCTGAACGTTGCACTATTTTTTCCCACGACCCGAAAACGCAGAACCGGAACCGCAATGAGCACAGTACTTAGCTCTAAGCGTCACCACTGACGAAACATCTTGCACACGAAGGTACTATCGGCACTAGATGAGACGTAAACAACCGTAAGCATTAGTAATGGTTGGGCGCCGTTCAGTCATCGCCAGTGACAGGCGCCCACACCGGCCGCCAATATCGCGATGTCTCCTTTTCAGAACTAAAACAGAGCGGAGATATCGCACCAGGGACCGGTCACTGCTGATGCGCGAGCCAGTCGCTAATGACTGGATGGTGCGCACTATACAATTACTAATGATGGCCACTGTTCACGTTTCATTCTACGCCGATAGTACAGTTGTGCCGTTGCAAAAGTGTGTAGTTACTGTAGGTAAGTCAGGGTAGCGTTTACGCAGGATATGTTAGATCGTAGCAAGGCTGGTCAAACCAATGAAAGCATTCCTTTCGAAAGAATGTATGTTGTAGCATGGAGGAAGGAACACACTAAGGAGAGGCCGTTGTGTCAAATTTTGTCAAACCAAAAGTACGGAAGAGTAGAGCACTCCTCCTCACAAGGGCGGTCACGTTACGGCAGCTCGCGCATGCGCAGCTGGCACCGGCAAGAGGGAGGCGTGCCGCGCAAGCCGATTTCGGAGGCTCCGGGCGGCATGGACGCGGCAATCTCGTAGGCGAGCTGAAAAATCAAAACTTTTTTTGATTATGAGCAAAGCCCCGCCGCGGTGGTCTAGTGGCTAAGGTACTCGGCTGCTGACATGCAGGTCACGGTATCGAATCCCGGCTGTGGCAGCTGCATTTCCGATGACGGCGGAAATGTTGCAGGCCCATGTGCTCAGATTTGGGTGCACGTTAAAGAACCCTAGGAGGTCGAGATTTCCGGAGCCCTCCACTAAGGCGTCTCTCATAGTCATATAATGGTTTTGGGACGTTGAACCCCACATATCAATCAATCAATCAATCAATCAATCAATCAATCAATCAATCAATCAATCAATCAATCAATCAATCAATGATTATGAGCAAACGATTTGCGACACTCGCTTGTAGATTGCATGTGTGCCATTCGGAGGTTCGTTGCTGCTCATTGTGAATTACAATAAACTTGCAGCTGTGCACTTCATGTTTAATCCTCTGAAAGAAAGAGAGCAATGACGCGAATCGGCCGGATGATCGCCCCGACAGGTTTTCTTTTGCAGGTATGGTAAGTTAGGGGTACGGAACATAATGTTACAGTGAAATGTTATCTAATTTGTCTTGCTACTTCGCCAACTTCTGTGCCTCCGCGTGATTGTTAGCCACTGCTTGTTGACACAGTACGTGCGCACGAGTATCGTTTGCATCAGCGCGGGTCGGCCAACTGCGACCATATCGATAAACAACTTGGCCAAGGATGAGGTTAACGCGCGCAAAACGAGAACAGGAAGCGATGATTAGAACAATAACTTATCTTACTGTGCCAGACATGTCTAAATTTTGACTCGACATATATTAATTTCGGGGCTTTTACGTGCCGGAACAACGATATGTTTAGGCACACCGTAGTCTCCGGAAATATTAGCCAGTGGTGCTTATTAACGTGCAGTGACATCACACATTACACACCATTAAAATACGACCACCATCAGAACCGGAATCTTTGGTTCAGCAGCCGAGCACTGCAACTGAACCACCGATGTGGACTAAGCGTTAGTACTAAAACGCAGGGACATGCACATATTGCCTAATGTCATAGAATAATCCAGTTTCTCTATTACAGCCGTCGCTTTGTTTCTGATGTCCTAGAAATATTTATTATTATGCTCCCGAGCTTTTAACGCAATACTGAACACCTTTACTTACCTTAAGGCGCATTCTCACTCGGCCTTGAATGGAGCGAAAGTGTTCGAACCCACCGGAAATTCACTCGCTTCGCCGCCTAAACTAAGCCGCCAGAAAATCACGCCACAAGGCCGACACAAAAGTATCAGTCAGACACTGGTTATTTGGCCACGCGATAGCAGATGGCCCGTCTGCTTCATCGCTTTGGGAGCACTGGTTGAAACCACGTGACATAAACAGCCGGCTGCAGGTTGAACGTGGTGACAAAGGTGCCTAAGGTGGCTCGCTTATAGGCGCGATGGCAAACTACCCGTGCAGCTCGGCAAAGATCACGACTTCGAAAAAAGAATAAACGCGTTCATTCAGAGCCCGGTTTGAATTACGATCGCCGAGAGCACTGGAAGTAGGAGAAGGTGCAGCAGCAGCGAGTCCGCATGGCCCAATGTGTCTCGCTTTCGCACAGCCGGCTGAATCCGTCGCTGACGGTGTGACCGCTCGTGACGTTCCCTGCTGGTGCATCTCACGAAACAACGTTTGAAAAAGTTCAAACTATCTCGTTTCGGTGATTTTCATGGATAACTGGAATTCGGCATGAAATATAATGCTCAGGAGGTGGACAAAGCGAATTGAATTCTGAAAGTGGCGAGGACGGTAGCGTTGGCATGTACGAAGGGCGGGACGAATGTGAACATTTTCGGCGCGTGTGAAGGTGGTTTCCCGGCCGCTCTGAGTTGCCGTTTTTGCTTAGCTTCTTTGTGAATGCACCATTAGAGTGACAGAAAGTCGACCCGGGTGGTAGGGATCATCCATGAAAGCAGGTAACGTGTGTTAGTTCGGACTTGCAAAAGAAAGATCTAGAGTACACTAAAGTACTGCAAAGGATAACAGTGGCAGAAAAAAAGCAGAAAACTTGTCTGCCGATGCTAAGGAATGGCAGCGTCACCCATTCGTCAGACACGCACGTGCTGGTTTGTGCGACATTAAAATGTGTGATAGAAAGAAGGGAAAGAAGGTGGCAACTAGGATGTCCTTAGCATTCCTTCATTTGACTGCCAGCTATAGTTCTCGTTTATATAGTGTCCGACAAAGAATATTGCTTAGTAATTTCGTTCTTTACGATGGTATGTCAGTCTGTATTCGCTTCCACTAAAACGACACGCCAGGTTTCAACTTTTCGTTCATGATTAATGCTTAATTTGACCAACATAAAAAAATGTGAATTTTGTAACCGAGGTGCCGCTAGCACAAGTTTGTTTAGCAGTCGTATAGTAGCCGCATAAAAAAAGCGATGGTTACACAACTAAAATACGTGGCAACCTTACATAACGCCTCGCGAAGATTACGTGTCACTGTCCAAGGCGGCGATGCCCTCTCTTGTTTTCTTGTCCTGCTGATCGGTTTCTTAAAAAGTGGTACCAGAAAAGTTGCCCGGCGTTGCTTGTTCATCTAAAACGGGCGGGAAACATGTCGTTGTAAATGAGTAGACTAGCCTCGCTAAGCGAGAAGTTCCGTCCTGGCGCAGGTGGTCAACTGGTGGTCGAACGCCAGTCGGTCAAAGTTCACCTCGAAGCTGCAGTGCTTCCAGGACCAGTACGCGGCCGAGGCGCAAGCAGTCCTGGCCCTCGACATCGACGAGGACTTCTTCCTGGACGAGAACGTCGCGGACAACGCCATCATGCACCCGCTCCACGACGTCTACCGCAAGGCGATGCACCTGTCGCGTCACACGTCCCGCGAATCCCGAGTGCCGGGCCTCGAGTCTTTCACCATGGACAAGCTGTTCTTCGTGAACTACGCCATGGCCCACTGCGACCGCATCAGCCCGAACCTGGCACGCAGGCGGGTGCTCTACAAGGACGGAGTGCCGGCCAAGCTCCGCGTCAACGTGCCGCTCAAGAATTACCCCAAGTTTGCCGAGGTCTTCAAGTGCCAGTACAACGCTCCGATGAACCCGGAGCGCCGTTGCGAGCTTTGGTGAAGCCGCAAATAAAGGCGTCACTGCAGGTTATCGAGTCTTTATGTGCGCCTAATTCGACCGGAGTCCAAACATAAGTATGTGCGTCTCATTCACGCACTAACCTTAAAGAATTCGTTCGATAGGAGATGAATAAAGCGTGCATGAAACAACGGCAGAGCGAGGTGATGATATTACAAGAAGCATTTTTGCAAAAAAAAAGAAAAAAACTTTAAGCGCGATGCGGAATCGATCATCGGGACCCATTTTTATAGTATATATCTGGAGTAATATATCGTATTCCGTTATGCGGTTCAAACTATATCGGCCAGGCGGGGTGAACCATACTTGAACAAGAAGATGCAGGACTACCACGACTGCGATCTTCCTCATGAGCGAGGGTTAAAGAAAGGGAAGCCTTGAATATCACTGCATCTTATATACAAGGCAGTAGCGAGAATTAAGAGCCAAGATGTATGTGAGATAATAGCCGATTTCAATACAAAGGCAGGGCAGTCATAGATAGTGACCCTTGGCGCACCTTGCAATATTGTAACCTAAAGAAACTTAGTCTCTGAGAATATTTACCTCATGTCAGCATTGCGCTCTTGTGGCGTCATGAACGAAAGAGTTCATGTGATCTACTTGTGAGAAACGATTTTTTTCGAGTAAGCACTTGGTTGTCAACACCTCCCTCAATCGTCGTTAGTGAACCTGCAACAAAAAATGGGTGCCTTCGTTCGCTACTTATTTATTCCAAATTATGAAGCAAGGCATCACGAGCCGTGTCAGAACCATGAGAACACGTTCGCTTGTGCACATGGTTTACTGCACGAAGGAAAATCACGGGCTGCGGGATCCTCGTATGATCAGATTGTGTTTGTCGAGCCGGGAACTTCGCTGCACGAGTCGACATGCAGCAGACTACACAACACGGCAGTTGCTTGTCTTGTCATGCCACACAATTCAAGCTGTCGCAAGTCTATTTACATGCCCCATTCGTTAGCTGTCTACAGAAACGTCCCTGTCGATGTTCCTACCTGTTGATTGATATTTCAGGTTTAACGTCCCAAAACCACCATATGATTATGAGAGACGCCGTAGTGGAGGACTGCGGAAATTTCGACCACCTGGGGTTCTTTAACGTGCACCCAAATCTGAGCACACAGGCCTACAGAATTTCTGACTCCATCGGGAATGCAGCCGCCGCAGCCGAGATTCGATCCCGCGACCTGCAGGTCATCAGCCGAGTACTTTAGCCACAAGACCTCCACGGCGGGGGATGTTTCTACCTAACACACTGCTTTCATACCCCAGCTTCAAGAGCCAGTACAGATGAGCAAGTTGAGAATTCTCCATTGGAGCACGAAGTTGGTTATAGATCCTCAAATATCAAAACACGCTGTAGCGTGCTCTGTCTAGTCCGTGTTTATGAGTTGCGAGGTGAAACTTCAGATTATGATTCACCAACAAGCCCAACTGCTCACTTTTTCAGAACCTGAAAGAGGCCCGAAGAGGGTTCTTGTCCAGGAAACAAGCTTTATTTATACAGTTATCAGTGATATTTCTCGTACAGGGTGGATGCCTTATTTCAGAGCCCCATTGTATTAGGGCACTCGACGTGCCCTTTGGATGAGCCGATGCTGCTCCTGCGGCGCTGAGCAGGTTAGAGCAGCCACCCAGAAGGAATGCGAAGGTGAAGGAATGGAGAGGCAGGTAGGTGGGTGTGGACATTCCCAAGTGAAGTGATACACCACGGACTTCGCTTCGAAGTAGTCACTGTAGCAATTGGAACAGTGGGATATTGTGTGGGGTGAAAGAGATAAGTATGAGAAGGCAGGAAAATGCATTAGACTTTACGCGGCATCGAGGAATTTGTGTGGTGGTGGGAAAAAATAAGGCCTTTTTTCTGTAAAGTAGCGTTTCGGTATACGTTAATGAATATGTTGGTGCGTCCTCTGGGTTAGACAGCTCTTCCGATGACGACCGGTTCGTGAGCTCTAGAGCATTAGTGCGTTCATTGCCATGGAGAGAGGCGTATCCAGGTATTTAGATGATACGCATTCGCCCTATACAACAATGTAAGGTATATTGATGTAATAATATGGTGTGTGTAGGGTGTCACCATTCCTTTAGCTGTATTCCTGGAGGGTGTTGTTTGAATTGTACAATGACATAATTGTATTGATTCACAATGCCACTGCTATATTTTTGAAGACCAACCAGAGATACGGTACTTGTATCGCGAAACGTGAAGTATATAGGTGCTATCAAAGGAAAAGGGCAGCTCGCTGCCCTGACGGGTAAGTTTGATGATCACTGAAAGCTTGATGTAGTATAGTTAAACTCAATACCTTTCCTATAATCTCATATTATTTCTCTTTCTGTTTCTCTCCTGATATTCGCTGTTGCTATTATGGAATGAGGTACATGGCTGCATACGGCTACTACAGATCTATAGTAGTTGGACGCCTTCAAAAACAAGGATGCAGTGAGGCGCACATAAACCACAAATGGAAGTGCTTTTGTGCGTGGTGTATGTGTTCTTTTTTATGTCTTCTGTTTATTTATTTATTTATTTATTTATTTAGAAGATTACCCGCAGCGCCATCTTAGGCATTATTGCGGGGGGCACAGTGCCTCATAGAATGAATCCGCAGTCTTGCGGCCAACTGGCCAACTGTTCATGCGTGGACTGTACCGGTCATCGCCTGTATGGGACATGCATGGTGCAACGCGTTACCATGACAGTGCCCGTCTTGTCCCTATCGCTGGCTTTCACCATTCTTCACTCGCCCTCAGCTGCGAGATCACCAAACCCACAATTGGTTCCCGAAAGGTGATCACTGGGGGAAGATTAGAAATTATTTATTTATATACGGTTCCACAGTGTAAAATAAGATGGTCTATAGCCTTTACGCTCAGTGCTGCGTACTACTGATCTTTCATTTGGACGTCTTCAAAAACAAGGACGCAGTGAAGTGCACATAAACCACAAACGGAAGTGCTCTTGTGTGTGGTTTATGTGTTCCTGTTTTTGAAGCACGTCCGAAAATACAGTTGGCCATTCCATCTAGCCCAAGAAGCAGTACTACTTTCGCTCTCACGTCTGCTTTATATATAAAAAAATCTGTGTTTTTACGATTCTGATGTTGAAACCAAGTTATTAATAATCTATTCTGTCATCAATGAACATCAAGTATGATTTATGAAAGCTGGTTTACGTTTCATGCGATGGTAGCGGCGGTTAAAGGAATGAATTTGAGAGTTCGATGGAAAACCGTCAGGTTGGAATAAAATTTGAGGAAAAGATGACACCAGTGATATAAAAGTTAAAAAGAAATGGCGTTGCGGCGTTTACACAGTAGCCATGTTTACAAGACTTCCTTCACGAGGGTTTCCCTGCCACTGATACACAAATAAATGAATAATAAATCGACATTTATTTTGTCCCCCTCTCTTACGCTCTCTGTGTGTCTGGTGAAGACCAGGATGCCAGGGACGATGGTATAGGGGGAATAAGACTGGGGCAACGTAAACACATTTTGCCCAACCACTAACACCGCATGTTTCAAAGAGTGCTTTTGAGAAAAGCAACCCACGGTATCAAGGCCATTATACTAGCGAAGCAAGTGTTCTAGTTGGCTCTCTGACACACAGTAAAGCTTCAGCTAACATACCGCGTTCAAAACACCCGGTAGTGTCGTGACACGAACGGGCGGCTCCTTAAGCTGCGATGCACGATCTTCTTGCAGTGTCCTATACTTCAGCCTAAGAGGACGGTCACAAAATGCTCGAAACACTACACCTCCCTGTCCTGCGGCAAAACTCAGCCGCACACAGCGCGCAGAAGAGCGTTCCTATTCTGATGTGCGGTGCGCTTTGGCGAAGAAACAGTCGCACCTCCGGCGAGTTCGTGGACACGTATCTCAAGGATGGCAGAGACTGTACCATCGCGTTGAGGTCTTCCTCACCGAGTCCATGGTGCTCCAGCGGGTGATCAAGACGTAGCTCCAGGCTCCTGAGAGATGTCATTGACGTCTTAGTGAACAGTCGCGACAGGAACATACGGGACACTTCGGTGGAGCCGAGCTTGAGGTATTCTAGTTCGGGACACTCGGACAGAAGACACTGCAATGTTACGGGCGTCGCCCACGTGATCCTGAGGGCGACCAGATTGCGGAAGGCGGTTGACTTGACTTCTTCGTCCAGGACGTGACAGTGGTCTAGCGACAGCAGGCGGAGGGTCTTTTCTCCTGTCTTGGCGACCTTGTTGAGGTCGACGTCCCTGAAGTTCCTGCAGGGAGAGCGCTGAGAGGTCAAACTTCTTGAGTGCCGGTACGACGCTGGAGAACGGGCAAAAGGCCGTCGTATCGGGTTCGTAGGAGACGCACAGCTTAGAAGGCGAGTATGAACTCGGTCAGCTCTTGGACGGAGTCCGGTGAGTCGACGGCGACGTAGACGAGTCCCGCGTCAGGGCACATCTCGGCGGCGCACTTGATTTGATCGCCGCTGGCCGGAACGAAGGACTGGACGCAACCGTCGTGACCGTAGGAGTAACCACCCAGCACGACTACGAGAAGGTTTCCAATGACGGCGCGTAGTTCGTTGTTATTCTGCGCGGCTTCCAAAGCCCGGGAGAATGTCTGCATCCAGCAAGCGGAGCTGCAAGAAGTAGAACACTCAAATAAAGCACACGTCTTAAGACACGTTTATTGCTTGTGATATTTCAGTACAGACAATTATAGTATGTTTGAATGCGCTACAATTGTTCTCAGGACATGAAATACTGGTAACACCTGCAGGCCTGTAGGCCTGGGAATGCATCAGCGGCCCAACCAGAAATATTTTAGATGGGAGGAGGGCGGTTTTACCACCCCCTATGCATGCTCTGCGCGTGTTTCTACGTTTAATTAAAATTTTCGGCGTGGGATTTGCCTTGAAGGTATGCGACAGATTTTCTGGCCCCATTTACGATTAGGGGATGGGAGTGACTACTTTCCTTTCCCCATGTGTTCACGTATATGCTCGCAGTGGTTTAGACCACCAATAACGTTTGCAATGCTATGCTACATAGTTGGAACAACGATATTCTTACATTCGGGCAGGTCATCAGAATGTTGGTGACGGCGTCACCATAGACGGCTAGGCCAGTGTTCTCATGGTCTGCGAAGTTCCCCTCCAGGTGCACCAGGTGGTGCGGTTCTTTGGTCTGGGCGTAGACGAAGCCCTCACTCTCGCTCAGGTCGTGCTTGAGGGTGATGCGCTGGGTGCGCGGGAATAGTTCGAGAAGTTCGGAGAGCGTGTTCCGGTTGTGGTACAGGTAAATAGCCGGAGTACCGTCCAAGACGTGCTTGGCGGCCTCGGCAAACTCCGGCCGGGAGCTGGAAAAAAAAGTGGTTGATAATTAATACGAAAGCCTCAGGCGCCTATCAAGGGTGATAACTGACCTCCAGCAACGTCAGCACGAGTCATGCAAATACTTATAATATAGTGACCGCACAATATGACATCATCATGACGTCAGAGACCACAAAGACTGTTAGCGTTACCATAGCTCAGCTATGACACCACTTAATGTGATGTCACAGGATGACGTCGTTCCACGACCTCATTGTTTGATGGAAGATGGGCTGATTACGCAGACTGCGCAAAATGAGGTGAGGAGCCAAAAGTCCCGCGGTTATTTTAAACGAACAACTGAGCGTGAAATACACTTTTAGGGAGAAAACGGGAGTTTATCATTTGCAAAATCTGCTTCGCAACACGCAATGAAAAAAGGACAGATAGTATAAGGATGACGTAATATTTTTTTCACTGACCGACGTAGCACCAGCGTACTCAAGGGGTGGAGTGGGGATTAAATGCCGTTGCTTTCTCCCAAATTTTCCACATAGTATGTATGCATGTGTATGTACGCATGCATACATACAAAATGACCTACGAACATATATGAGAGGTAGCCATATCACCCCCCCTCCCCTGCCCCAAGTAATTTGGTAAACGTTTCAAAAAATTCGTTGCGCATAGCAGGAAAGAAACGCTATTCATCGGTACTGAAGTACAAGTACATTGAAATATAATTGCTGTCTATATTTAACAGCCCTCTCTTGGATATTGCGGCTATACCATTGCTTCATAATGTCGTACAACCTAAATTACAATTTATAGTGGATGTGCATACGCAAAAACATTCCAATTTTGTGAATATCAAATGTGAACCAATATCCTTGAGCATGATTTACCTTTTCTGTTGATGGTCTTGTCGTACCAAGCAATGCCCACAATGTAGGGGAAAGCTATCGATGTTATTTATATAAGCCTTTTAGAGCTTTCATTACTGCACTATAAATATACAAATAAAAAAAGCGTAAAGAAGTGTACACATATAAGTTTTCTTGATATTAGGGGACGTATTCCTTTCTCAACCTAATGCCATTCACATATGTTCCACTGCTACTTATACTACTGCCATTTTCTTACCACTACTGCTCCCGTAAGCTGCACTTAGAACACTACTGCTACGACTTCTGCAGGTCCAACTTTCCTTCATCTTCCTGCTACTACTACTACTACAACTATTGCACGCCCACTGATTCCCCTCCTGATTCTCCCAATACATCCTACAGAATCTCCTACTACTACTACTAACAGGAAACTAATAACGCTGCTGCTCCCAACAACAACAACAACAACACAACAACAACCACAACAACAACAACAACAACAACAACAAAACAACAACACCAACAACAACAACAACAACAACAACAAACAACAACAACAACAACAACAACAACAACAAACAACAACAACAACAACAACAACAACAACACAACAACCAACAACAACAACAACAACAACAACACAACAACAACAACACAACAACAACAACAACAGCAACAACAAGAACAACAACAACAACAACAACAACACCGACAAGAAACAACACAACAACCCTACTACTACTACTACCACTAGTACCATACTACTACTACTACTACTACTACTACTACTACTACTATTGCGTCTCGTACTACTACGAGTACTTCTCTACCAACACTACCACTACCCCCTCTACTACCACAATACTGTACCTGAATGCGTCGCATCCGGCGAACATGGCGAATGCGTATCGGTGCTCGGCCAGCTCGTACCTCCTCGCAACGAACGCGTCCTGTCCCATGCGTAGCCGGGACGGGTGGGGTGCCTCGACACCTTCGGGCAGCGGGTGCGAGTCGAGCCAGGGCTCGACCAGCCCCAGCTGGATGTGGTCCGTCTCGCGCGTCAGCTCATCGTCCCACTCGACCAGCTCGTCGCTCCACGAAGACGACGACATGTTTGCCACTCTCTCGTCGTCACCGCTACAGCCGGCCTCTATCCTCAGCGAGGCCTGCATCCACATCAAAAAAAAAAACACAAAAAAACTGAGCGAACGAATGGATCATCGCGAGTCACTCAATTATTTGGCGCAGTACGAGTTTCGTATATCGGGATCGAATGGCCAACGGGCCGGTGCTTCCTACAGATCGATGCGCACGATTCACTCATCAGAGAAGCATAAATGCTGTCATTAGGAAGGAACAAAGCTTGTGCGAAGGACTCGGCACGTTTGCGTAGACAGATTTTCGTAACGTGAACAGCTTCTACGCGTTTAAGACTAAATTTAGTTGTAGACATATGTTCATAGCGATAGTCCTAGAATTAAACTGAATGTTCTGGCAAACTTCATGGTAGATCCGCACATCAGTGAAGTAAAATACGCAACAAATAAAAACAAAGGATCGAACGACTAAAACTTCAAGTAGTTGGGACGGACTCGTTAGAGAATAAATAATGGAATCGTTTGGATTGTAGTCGTCAATTATCATTCCACAGTGCCACCAGAACATCCCGTCTTGGCATTCAAACTACACATAGTTGTACTATAGCCTACTCTCCAAGAAATATCATCACGTTCTTTCAATGGACTCTGTATACACTAGTTTGTGCTCCTTAAGGACCTTCCCCAAGTTTCTGGTGAGGAGATGTCTGCAGGAGCTCCTCGCGGGGTGGGTTGTTGGGGCACGGCCATGGAACGAGGCTGGCGGAACGGCCTGCCAGTGTTGCGGCTTCCTGGGTCCCAATTCGAGCCCTTCGTTGGCTCCCCAAACCTGGCTCCCCCAAAAAGTATTTTTCTCCTCTGGCTTTCAATGTACTCACTGAATTAATGTTAATTAATTATCTTGAAGCCAACGAGCCCTTATCTTAAGTTATGCCCCGACATGGTGCAGTATCCAATATAACTGCTAACTTGCACCATGGACCATAAACTTATTCTTTTAGGAGACTATTATGAATCACGGTAAAGCAAAATTAACTGTTGGCCTGTATATGCATATCCAGTCCCGCCCAAGAATGCTCGAAACATTAAGAGTTCACATACAGGGCTGTGTAAATAATTACGCACGACTAATACATGTTCTGATACACTCAGTGAGGAGGGGTCTAATTGCTTGCCGTGCGATCATGACAGAATATACTCATGGGTACGAAACACAATTTCGAGCGAACTTTTCAGAGTACACACGATAGAATTTGGAAGACGTATTTTAACTGCTTACCGATATCGTAGACGCACTGTGGCTAAGTATCTCGGCAGGATGTTTAACTGGGAGTCTAGTAGCACCAGATTATAAAGTGGCCGCCTTTACATAACAGCGGTCGTGTTGCCGCAATGTCACCAGTGACCAACGTGTTTGCAGACACAACGTGTTTTTCGCGTGACCAGTCATTAAAGAACCCGCGAATACTTTGCCCATTAACGCGCTCAGTGTGATCAACACATGGCTGCAATAAAAGGAGCTGTTTTGCAAGCTTGTGTCAAGGGTTGCGCTTTCGACGTAAACAGAAACACATTGAGAGTGACCGAGGTACTAAGGCCCTTGCTCAGCGTGGGGTACCAGGCGGCTTACAGACGCAGGAACAGGGGGTGCCCGAAAATTGTCTTTTTTAAAATAAAATTTCAATACATTCAGCCAGTTTAGCAATGCAAGCTGAGTAATCATGCACGTCATAATTAACACTTGTAGTATACAGGGCTTATCGGTATAGTGGGCTTACCGTGATCGAAGGGTGCATGCGCAGTAACGTGCGTGACCCGTACCGCTCACCATACGCACGCTATTTTTCAGATTTAACGTCACCGTGTTAGCGTGGTTTACGCAGTGTACGTAAAACATGACGACGGTTTAAAACGTCCGCTTTGAAGTGAACTTCAAGTAGTAGTTGAAAGGTTCCCTTCATTCGCACCTAAAGTCTCTGTAGAAGGACTTCACTTGCCTTCAGGTAGCTTCGGCGACCGAGTACTACAAATAAGTTGGCGTAGGTTTTGAGACAGCTTCCCGTTTCGAAGGTCTTCAGGCTTAGCTAAATAGAAGAACAATTAAACAAATCGGTGACGTAAATAATTTCGCATTTGCGTATGGTTCACATTTATCCACTTCTATTATTACTACAAAAACTTGTAACCTTGCTTCGCGCGGTGTTAAAGACAAACATTCTTATTTTTTCGTCTTTCACTGTTCTTTAACTTATTCGCCCTCTGCTAGATGACGCCACCATCACAGCTGAGGCACGTTTTTCTCGTAAACGCTAGTCCAATCATTTCCGATGGAGGCGGAAATGTCGTAGGCCCGTGTACTCAGATTTGGGTGCACGTTAAAGAACCCCAGGTGGTCAAAATTTCCGGAGTCCTCCACTACGGCGTCTCTCATAATCAAATGGCGGTATAGGAACGTTAAACCCCACAAATCAATCAATCAATCAATCAATCAATCAATCAATCAATCAATCAATCAATCAATCAATCAATCAGCTAGTCCAATAAACTAAAAGACTCTGTCCGCGACTAACGTTTGCGGCACGGCAACGCTATTCTCTTAAAGCGGTACTGACACAAAGTTTCTCTGCCGAGATAGCCTGCGGGGTTTTATCCCATGGACATTCGTATATCATCTGCAAAATATCAACAGCGCATATAGTTTGGAAGGTATCTTAAATTAATTTTGAAGTTTGAATGAGTTCCTCGGCTCCATCATTGACACCCTCGAAGGGGCCAATTGGGGACCCCCTACTTCTCTCATGTCACCACACTGTAGTCAATAAAACAAGCTACGATGACGGCACAGTCGCCATTTTTCTTTTCCCATGTTTGTTCCCGCATACTTCCTAGCGTCTGATTGAGACTGCGTGGCCGTGGCGCACGCTTTGAAAGCTTTGTGTTTGGCGACAGTGCAGTTCAGTTTCCTACTCGGAAGCGCTTCTTGATGCCAATGATGTGGACCGTGCGGAAGTGTGTCGCAGTTCTGGGTGCTGACATGGTCGAGAGCTGCACACGCTAGGTGGCGATAGTTGCACCCGGCAGCTTCCGTTTTTTTTTTTTTTTGGAAGCTCTCGAAAACCGAAACTTAAAGTGGTCGATAATGAGGGGCCTGTAAATAATTATCCATCACGTGCTGCAGCAAACGATGTGTCTTGTTATGACTAACATTGCCCCAGCAAGACATTGCAGCAGAAAAATGCGAGGTCAAAGTTTTTGTGTCAGTTTAACCCCCGCTATCACGCTAACCCTAAACTATAACTCCCTATGAATGTAAGCTTGTAGAGCACGAAGATTATGTGGTTTGCATATCTGATTTCTTTATGATATAACGAGTTCCGTTTCCAAATTTCGTACCCCAGCGTCACACTGGGCATTCCAACTCTCCCATAAACCATTCTCACGTTCTCTTTTTGCTACATAGCTAGCTGCTATGACTTTCCATGCTACTGTACCCGTGTCGAATTTACGTTACGACACTCCTAACTTCACGGAAACCTCTAGTCACATATACTTGAGAATGCGCACTTTTATTAGGGCGAACTGGTACAACCTTGTTCGTGTAAGCAAGAATGGGTCACTTTAAAGGGACACCAAAGATGAAAATGATTTTCACGTTTTGCTAAAGTGCAATTTCACAATCCAGAAAACTCGACGACTCTTACAGTGACCAGACACTTGGTAAACGAGAAAGCACGTGAAAAAAAAAAATGTGAGTGGAGACATCACCGTGAAATTGCCGCACCAAACATCGTGAAGTCATAAATTTTGAAGGCGTCCATACTGGGTCCTACGCAGCTTCTAATAAATAAAAGTGAGTACATTGCCATCTGTGAGTACCGTAGACGTAGCACACGAATATGTGGAGTATTTTGATCGAGCAAATATTGCGAAAACATAAAAATACATTTTGAAAATTTTTTTATGTCACGCGCAAAGTTTTCGGCTGGAAATTTAACAATAAAACTTTAACCTTAATTTTTGTTCAGTAATAATGATTTTTTTAATAGCAAAACACGTGACAATAAAGTTCTCAGAATGCGGTTTGACACTCTAACGAAGTCATACTTTCAATTTTGACGAGTGTGTTGCAAGAGATGGCGCCACTTATAAGCAACAATGTTGCCTTCTGTGGAGTTAAGATTGATTGATTGATTGAAAACTTTACTGAATGATTTACAATGTGCTGTGGAGTTGAGCGTCGCTAGGGACGTTGTTTCGGAAGGTCTCCAATAGGGCGTTGTTATTGCTCGCTCGTAATAACTGTTTAGCAGGCATCGACTACCGGTAACCGACCTTACTACTAGCAAATAGGACGTGCGTTGAATGCAACCACCTGTTTTCATACGCGCGTTCATTTTCAGAGCCGTAGTACAGACATGGACGCGACGGTGTGCTTATATGCCAGAGTTTCCGCGTTAATCATTCACCTGGCCTCCGCGTTGGTGTGTCATTAAAAAGGAAACACGAACGCAAGCTGTATCAGTTACCCGCGATTACGCAACTGCATCTTTTTTTGCTATACTCCAGAGAGGACGCAGAATATTACATAGATGGATGGCGTCGTTGAACTGAAGTTTTTTGAGTGGCTCGCAGTGATGTCATGCATGTTTGAGGCTTTCTTTGGTTTCAGCTGTGATGTTGTTTCCGGCCTATCTGGTGCCTAAAATGTACGTTTGAACCTCATCAAAAAAAAAAAAATAAAGTCCGAACCTTTATGAGTTTGATGACTTCCGCAAGTAGAATTGGATCTCGCGAACACTTTTAAATACCAAGGATCGACGTTCCTGCTCATCTTAGTCTATGCGAAAAAGTACACTGCTACTTGTTTCGCCAAGCTAACATGCCAGTATAGAAGTTCCGCTACCAAAATCTCAAACAAAACAAGCTAAGTGTGACCTTAAAAAGCAAAACTCAGTAGAGAGACATCTATCGGGCCGAAACATCACACACACACAAAAAAAGAGCTTTGAATAAAATGACTTTACTTCAGTCTATAAAATGGAAGGATATGCACATACGAGAAGCT